TTTCCAATTAATAAAGTAAAATAAAATAATAAATTAATTCGCCCGGATAGCTCAGCTTGGTAGAGCGAGAGACTCTTAATCTCTAGGTCCAGGGATCGAGACCCTGTTCGGGCGAAATTTTTTATAACATTTTTTATTAAAACTCATCATTTTAATTCCTTAAACTTATTCTTATCATATATTTCGCTAGAGTCTAATATTTCAATATTTTGGATCAAAGTTTTCCTTTTATTATTACTAAATGGAATTAATTAATTTTTTGATTAATTAAACTTAATTTAAACTAAAATAATTTGTAAAGGGATTTTATTTTTTAAATATCATACTCATTTATTTTTTTTCATTTACATGAAGTATTTTAAATTTTATTGTTTGTCATTGAATTAATTTTAAATTTTCTCTTGTAAAATTAATCAGATAACTTTATTAAAATAATATTTATTAAATTTATTTTGCTTTTATATCTCTATAAGTTCTAATAAGAAAAAAATACAGTATATTTAAAGTCAATTAATAGTATAAATTTGGTTTATGAACTATTTAATAATTTTATTAGGAGCTATATATTAGAGGAAATTCTACCTTCAAACTGTTTTTAACTTAAAAATAATTTATCCTAAATCTTTCACTTTGTGATATAAAAATTACATGATTAAGTATAATTTCATAAAGAATTTATAATCATTTTATTGAGATTAAAGATCATAGCATTATTTAATTTAAAATAACTATTTTTATTTTAATGAGCACATATACATGGTAATAAGTTGCTGAAAATTAAAGAAATGGATGGCTTGTTATAGATGGTATTGTTTATAATCCAACTCCATATCTTAATGAACATCCAGGTGGTCCTGCAGTTTTGTAAAATCGTTTTGGTAAAGATGCTACAAGAGATTTCAACGAAACAGGTTAGGAATTTGATGCAAATATAGGTCATACATCAGGAGCACGCGAAATATTAAAAAAATACAAAGTTGGGACAATAGATAAAACCTCACCTTAAGAGCCTTGGCAAGCTGGAGGTGGTACACCTGCAAGTGCTTAGCTCTTCGCATTTTTAATTGTTGCTCTTGTTGTTGTGTTTATGTTATGGAATTTTTTTGCAAAATGATATATAATAAAAAAACAAATCAAATTTGAATTGTCTCTCCCTACTTTATAAATTTTCCATTTATTTTAAAATTTAGAGTGCAATTAAAATTTAATGGTTATTACTCTAAAATCAATGATTTGGCATCCATATAAAGATAAGGAAAATCAATTTATTTCAAGAGATATTCCTTGTTATTGAAAAACAATTTAGCTTAAGCAATTTCATAAAAATCTAAAGATTCAAACTCTATGCATACATTTTAGGCTAATCTTTAGATTCTTCTTCGGCAAGCATCTAAATATATATTATATTCAACTGGAAATACAATTCCTAACTCAATTAATTGATTTTAAAACTATTTCGTATTTGGATACTGACTTAATTATTAATGAAATTTAATTAAAGGTTTGATATTTGTTAATTCATTTTAAATTAGCAATTATTAAGCAAAACTACATGCTAATTCAATAATAGTTATTTAATTAACCTAAATATCTGTGACAGAATTATCCTAATCAATTATTGTTGTAATATTATTTAATAACTCTCTAAATTATTAAAATATTAATCTAAGTTCTGGTTAGTCTACTATTTGATTAATCCTATCCATATTCTACTTGCAATAAAAATTGCTTTAAATATCAGTTCTATTGATAGGAAACTTTAAATCTGTTCTTTTTACTAATTCTTTTGGATTAAAATTATTTGTGCCCTCTTTGCTCTACTCTAATTTTAATTCAAATAAACTTTAAAAGTCAATGATTAATTTTTGTTACATAAATTTTTCTATTATATCATATAATTTATATCTCAAAGCAGAGTTATGAATATTTCCATCAATAAAACTCTTTAACTCTTGTAATTTAGTAGAACCATTCAAAATATTTTCAAGTTCTTAATAAGTAGAAGTTCTACAAAATACTTCATCAATATTATAGTTTAAACATTCCATACACACATATAGAAATTGATAAACGATTTGCATTTATTCAATAATTAGGGGAGAAAATTACGTCTGATTAATGAAATGGCATTACTCAATTAAATAATCCTTTACTTTTGGATTCCATTATTTGAATAAGATTTCTAAGTTTTCTATTAGTTTCATTTATTGTAATTATTCAATAGCTAAAACGTATGAATTTGCTTATCTAATAATTTATTCACAATGCACACTAAACTCATTTATTTTTTAAATGCTAAATTATTATGGCCATTTCAATAAGGTTATCAGTTAACCTTTTAATTCTTCCTTAATAATCAAGTATTGCTTCAAAATTTTGACACATTTAAATAGTTCTGCATTCCAATTAATTAATTATTTAACAAATTTCGTATCTTTTGAAAATTATTCTTACAATTCTTAAAGTTTATCTTAAACTTCTTTATGTCTCTGTAAAACAATCTCAATTCTTTACTTTTCATCCTCAATATTCTCATTCCAATCGAATATTGGAAATTTAAATTACAGTAATTTCTTAATAGATTCTAAAATATTGAGATCTGCTTATTAGAAATATATGATTTCGTAAAAGTCCTTGGCATAAAATTCTTTAAAATCAATAAAGAACTTCGGTTTTAGATTTTAATTAATATAATTTTTATATCCTATGAAATCTTATTGCTCTAATGTAGATATTTCTAATCTCATTGGATTTGTTACTTGATATTCACACTCTACCATATAAATTAATTATTTTAGTTTTTTAGATTCTTCTAAAGGAACTTAGAATCCTTTTCTAATATAATCTTATTGTAATTGATTAAAAAATGATTTGATCTATTGCACTTATGCAGGAATATTAAATTAGCTAAATTGCTAATATTTCTCTTCTTCATTAAATTCCTAAATTTTTTTTCCGTTAAAATATAATTATTTGATTTCGAGCCATACATTCTTTGCTGCGATGTATAATTATTATTTAGTTTTAATTTATAGATTTTAGAAAATTTGTTAATTTGGTATCTATTAGATTTGCTTAATTTCTTCATAATAAATTTTATATTATTTGTAGAGAGATATAACATCCTCAAAAAATTCAGAAAATTAATTAATATTTCTGTTTGTTATATAAACTAATCTTTGCTGAAAGTCTCTTAATTCTTATTTTTTTTCTGAAAATTTTTCAAATAATCCTTCAATCATTCTAAGTTTTTCTGATAAAATTGTAATACTAAATGTATCAGATTCTTAAATTTAGGATTCTATTTATCTTTCTAAGTTGAATACTTCCCTTTCATGAATAAACAATAAAAAATTAATTTCTTAAGTCATTCTTTCTTATAAATATTGATTCAATGAATTAAAAGAATTCTCTAATTTTTATTAGTAATTCTCTTAGGGTTCAATATAATTGTGTTAATTATTAATGGATAATAGTATACTTTTAGTTAAATTGATTTGATTTTGCATCTCTAATTTTAAATGGCTTAATTTTTGGTTGAAATGTTAAATGTTCGAAATAGGTTACTATTATTCATATTAAAGATTAGCATATTTATTAATTGGCGGTTGCCTNTATTAGTTTCATTTATTGTAATTATTCAATAGCTAAAACGTATGAATTTGCTTATCTAATAATTTATTCACAATGCACACTAAACTCATTTATTTTTTAAATGCTAAATTATTATGGCCATTTCAATAAGGTTATCAGTTAACCTTTTAATTCTTCCTTAATAATCAAGTATTGCTTCAAAATTTTGACACATTTAAATAGTTCTGCATTCCAATTAATTAATTATTTAACAAATTTCGTATCTTTTGAAAATTATTCTTACAATTCTTAAAGTTTATCTTAAACTTCTTTATGTCTCTGTAAAACAATCTCAATTCTTTACTTTTCATCCTCAATATTCTCATTCCAATCGAATATTGGAAATTTAAATTACAGTAATTTCTTAATAGATTCTAAAATATTGAGATCTGCTTATTAGAAATATATGATTTCGTAAAAGTCCTTGGCATAAAATTCTTTAAAATCAATAAAGAACTTCGGTTTTAGATTTTAATTAATATAATTTTTATATCCTATGAAATCTTATTGCTCTAATGTAGATATTTCTAATCTCATTGGATTTGTTACTTGATATTCACACTCTACCATATAAATTAATTATTTTAGTTTTTTAGATTCTTCTAAAGGAACTTAGAATCCTTTTCTAATATAATCTTATTGTAATTGATTAAAAAATGATTTGATCTATTGCACTTATGCAGGAATATTAAATTAGCTAAATTGCTAATATTTCTCTTCTTCATTAAATTCCTAAATTTTTTTTCCGTTAAAATATAATTATTTGATTTCGAGCCATACATTCTTTGCTGCGATGTATAATTATTATTTAGTTTTAATTTATAGATTTTAGAAAATTTGTTAATTTGGTATCTATTAGATTTGCTTAATTTCTTCATAATAAATTTTATATTATTTGTAGAGAGATATAACATCCTCAAAAAATTCAGAAAATTAATTAATATTTCTGTTTGTTATATAAACTAATCTTTGCTGAAAGTCTCTTAATTCTTATTTTTTTTCTGAAAATTTTTCAAATAATCCTTCAATCATTCTAAGTTTTTCTGATAAAATTGTAATACTAAATGTATCAGATTCTTAAATTTAGGATTCTATTTATCTTTCTAAGTTGAATACTTCCCTTTCATGAATAAACAATAAAAAATTAATTTCTTAAGTCATTCTTTCTTATAAATATTGATTCAATGAATTAAAAGAATTCTCTAATTTTTATTAGTAATTCTCTTAGGGTTCAATATAATTGTGTTAATTATTAATGGATAATAGTATACTTTTAGTTAAATTGATTTGATTTTGCATCTCTAATTTTAAATGGCTTAATTTTTGGTTGAAATGTTAAATGTTCGAAATAGGTTACTATTATTCATATTAAAGATTAGCATATTTATTAATTGGCGGTTGCCTAGTTTATTTTAAAATTCTCAATGATGTTTGTAATTCTTCACTTTTAATGGCCATTTGATCAGCCTAAGGCTTAATAATCTCATAGTACTGAGATAGTTTAATTAAAAATGAATTCTTCAAGATATTCGTTTTAATGTTTAATATTTCCTGTAAAATGACATTAGCTAATGGAATCTGTAATCTGTTAATCTCTAATTCAGTTACAAAGTCTTGATTTTTTTATATTAGATCTTCCCATTGTTCAAAAAGTTTAGCATAATCATTTTCAGTCCAATTTTCAGTAGTCATGATATTTGAATAGCTATTTTAAAGATTTGATCTTTATTAGTTTTATTATTCCTAAGATCCTTAAAAAGGTCTTGATTAAAGAAGATTATTATCATATCCATTATTCATGAATTGACTCTAGAGGAAATTGCCGCCCCTTATTTCTGGCTATCCTAGTTAAATTCTAGATTATTATTGCTATTTAATTTACTATTACTATTGATTAACATACACTTAAGACTGAACTAATAAACATAGTTAATAACATTAATACGAAATTGCTAATTCTATAGAATTTATGAACCAGTTGGATGTATATTTTGCTAGAGTTAATTTGGGGATTCCAATCTAATGGTACTTAAACCATTAATCAAATTTGTATTGTTAGATACATTGAATGGCTGACTATTGGCTGTTCCATTTGGTATTAGAGCATTTGTTGAATACACAAATTGATTTTGATAAATATTGGAAGACATAAAATAAATATTTAGTTAGTAAATGTATAATTCATTATTCGAATGAATTATAAAAATTAAAATTATCTTCGAATTTCTATTATCTACTTTGATTTTAACTTCTTTAATATTCATTCTCTGTCACCAATTTTTTATCCTATTTGCGCCAACCCTCACTCTACTTTGCTTATTATTGTTAGTTATTATACGAAGCCTCTTCGAATAATTCTTATTTCTTTAATTATCCTTTCAAATGTTCTAATTCATAAAATGCTTTATTCTTCTATTCTGTGCTTAACTAAACCTCTGCTCTTAATTTTCTTAAGTCTTCATTCCAAATTTAAGATTGCGTCTCATTTTATTCTCTTAATTTATCTATCCCTTCCTCTTATTCTTTACTTTTTATTCTGTTTATGATCTTCAACTCTTCGAATTCTCTTTAAATTTCTCCATTAATTAAGGAATTATAGGTTTTTATTCAAATTATCTGTATTAAGGTTATTAAAAATATTAAAGCTACTATTATTATTAAGAGAAATATTATTGTTACAAGAGATATTATTATTACATTTACTGTTATTCAAACTGCATTTATCATTACTAATTATTTTATTCATAATGATTATGTTAGGAGTTATTTCTGAAAGATCTATTATTTTATGCATTTCCAGAAGTGTTTGGGTGATTATAAGTAATATTTATAGCATTTTAGTCTTACAAGGTTCTTTAAGATTATAACTTAGTTAAAGGTGTGTGCGAGGATTTGTTTTATTTTTTAAATCTTATTCAAATTTATCATCAACTTACTTTAAATTCTCTTTTAAATAATTTGGTGCTATATTATTATTTGTTAGATTAGTTTTACTATTTATCAATCATTAAAAGTCATTTTTGATTCATCATATTATTACAATAAATGTCTATTTTTGACTGTTTTTATAATTTATTTCTTATCCTCATCTTTCATTACTGAATTTTAATTCATTCCTTCATCAATTTTTTTTTATATTTCTTCAATTTATGCTTATTTCTCTTGCTATTTCTATTACTCTTTATTATCACGCTACTAAAAAACTTTAGAAAAAAATCTACCATCTGAATTTTTATTGGCTTCATTTTCAATATTTCTAATTATTTCCTTTCTCTCAGAAGCAGACCTTTTATTATCGATCATCTCTTTATTTATAAACAGGTACTGGCTTTTAATTTAATAATTTTCTTTCATATCCAATTTATTAAGTAATATCTACATAATCATTATCTAAATTTTTCCCTATTCCTTTTACTCTTAAACCACTCTTTTTCCATTTGATGCTTAGAAATTAGTCTTCCGATTTGCTTCCAAAGAATTGTTGTAAAATGGATTGTATTAATTATCCATTAAAATAATTCTAAGTTTTCCAATTAATTTAATAAAAAATGTTATAAAAAATTTCGCCCGAACAGGGTCTCGATCCCTGGACCTAGAGATTAAGAGTCTCTCGCTCTACCAAGCTGAGCTATCCGGGCGAATTAATTTATTATTTTATTTTACTTTATTAATTGGAAAACACTTTATTTTATTTTATTTTTATACATATTTAATAATATAACATTTATTATTGAAATTATTAACTTATTTATCAAAACAGAATTTATTTTATATTTATCAATCTATAATCTAAAATTATAAATTTAAAAATAAGTAGATTTCGATAATCATTAATTTCTATATTAAATTATATAATTTCAAAAAAGATTTTTACTTATATAAATTAAATTAGAATTTTAATAAATAAGTTTTGAGATCCTATTTATTTAATGAATATTTTTTCATATATCTAATTATTTTTATACTAAAATGGTGTCTTCTAAAGACTTACTCCTCTCAAATTATTAGTTTATTAATTAGTTAAAGCTGCCTAATTGTGCAAGTATTTCTTAAACATTAAAAGGAGAATTAGAAATCTCATATCCTATGACATTATATACAAACTTAGCAGTTTAATTGAAAGACAATTATGTAAATATTCTTTTCTTACCTGTATTTTAATAACAATATATAAAGAATTGTTAGAACATTTTTTCTATATCTGAATTATTTCTATTAATACTGCATAAAATATTCTCTCCTTAGATTAATTCTTCACAATAAAAACAATTTCCATTTGAAACTTCTATGATAAATTATCTTGGAATTCTTGCATCCTTAAATATTTCTATTTTTTATTCTAAGCTTTAATTTTCTAAAACATATTTTTTTATAAGCTAAAAGCATAATAAATTATTGAGAATTTAATCTTTTATCTAACTTTAAGTTAAATTTTTGTATTCATTTGCTTATTTTTTTTTCAATTCAAAATCCAAATTTGGAAATTATAAGATTTAAATTGTAAATGGCTTATCATTTATAAATTACTTTTAAGCTTAATAAAATTCTTCTTCTGAAAATTCTTTAATAAGTGATTCAGTTAGATTTACTTAACTTATTAATGATAAATCTGATATATTATTCAAATTCAACTTTACCTCTGATAATTTAAAATTTATTATATTATTTGAAAAATTATAGACTTATTTTTCCTTTTAAAAATTATTTATTATTTATACTAGTTTTTCAATTTCTTATTTTAAAATGTTAATTTAATTTTCATAGTCTTATTTTTATTTTTCTAAATTTTCCTAAATGATTGAATAATTCTATTTTAAATTTAAATTCTCGTTTTATAATTTATCATATTAATTTTTCAATTAATCATCTTTGAAATATTTATGTAATATAATACTTTATAATGCATCATCAAAATTGTAATTTAGTTAGGCTTATAATTTTTCAATCTACTATTATTGTTATTCTAATTCTAAAGTGTATTACTTTACTTACTTTTTAATGGCTGCTTGGACGATATTTTCATGTTTCTACTATAAATTAACTATTTCTAATTTTAACATTTTGTTTTCTTAACTCAATTCACTTTCTTAAGATTATGATTGTAATTCTACTATTTATTAAGATTTAGTTTACAATTCTTACTTCAGGGTTTACAAATCATCATCTAAATATAAGTTTTATGTCAATTATATTTTTAGTTTTTAATCTTTTTCTTCTTTTTCTTTTTTTACATTATTCATTTCATCGTAAAGATTTTTATTCAAATGATTTATATCTTAAATTTTTTATTATAGTTCTGAAATTACTTTAATTTGGGCTTAAATTGTTTCTTAACTTTTTTTAAATTAATCTGAATAATTTGAAGCTTATACATAATCTATTTAATTTTTAATTTTTTCTTTCAATATATTTATTTGAGTTTATTTGTCTCGATTGTCTTGATTTTTTTTCTCAATTTCCTTTTTTTGTTTTTCTAGCATATTAAGAGAATAAACAATATAAGTATTAGATTAAGGATTTCCAAATTTTGAATACTCTAGATCTTGGTCCTTTTCATCATCCAAATATATTTTTATTATTTGTTTAATTTTATTCTCCTCACAATCAATTTCAAATGAATCTCCATTTAATTTATAAATGATTCTCTTTTCTTTTTACATTATTTTTATTTTAATTAATATATCGATTATATTTATATATTATAAACAAAAATTTAATCATATAAAACACTTGAATAAAGATCAATTTAACAATTTTTATTTACTAAAATATTTTTGTCACAATTTGCGTATAAATACAATACTTTTAATAATAATTATAAAAAATTTATAAGACAATATATTCAATAGTAATGATACTAGTAAAAAGTCTTAAGTATGCCCATTTTCGATATTCGATGTTGTTATTGATATTATAAAAAGTTAAGTGTTTTATTTATTTGACTGTTTCATATTTTTGAAATAATTTTTTTTCCTTACAATTCAACTCTTTAACTTTCTCTAATTATTTTTACTTCTACATTATTTCTTAAATATTTTTAGTTTAGATTTCAATAAAATTTAATTATTTGATTTGAAATTCGAATTTATCTATTGAATAATGATAAATTATAAGTTTAAATTTAAAATTAATTGCATTAAATGTTTTAATATTTCTCCATTTAAGCTCTATTTATAATTATTTATATTTATTGTGTTAAGTATAAACAAAATGTTTATTAATGAATATTATATGTTAATATTTTAAATATCTAATTTTTTTAATCAAATCTCAAAATTCTCATTATTTTTCCATTTATCTTTACATAGGGTGACATATGCCATTATGAAATAAGGGCCCGCTTATTCATTAGGTAAAATTGGATGAGGAAACAATAAATTATGCCCTATGACGTTTGAAATTGTATTGTTGTTTAAAGATAATTAAGTAAAAATACGAGAAGTTTTTATTTGATTGTTGCAATCCATTTAAAATTTATTGTTTAATTCCGAATATTCATTTTCATTCAGAACATATATTTCACTTGGACTATCAGGACTATCAATAAATTCTTCGCAATAATAACATATTCCATTATCATCTACTAGAATATATTATTTTGAAACTTCTAAATTTTAAGGATCTATGTTTAACCTTTAAAAATGTAAATTTTATTAGTTTTAAAATAATTATTTCATCTAATTTTTTAAGTAAAAGTTGTCAACTATAACCTCTTTTATTTAATCTTAACTTAATTATTGTTTCTTGTTAACCTACTTAACTTTGATACTAAGGTTTTATTATTTACATATGTATTAAAAAGATTGAAAAGGCTCATCTTTTAATTATTGCTTCCTTTCAAATTTATTTCTATTTTACTAATTATTTTATAAATTATTAATTATATCCTTGTAATTAGAATTATTAATCTATGGATCTATGTAGTATTGTGTTAAAACACCAAATATTTCCTTTGGAAACTTAGAATCCTAACTATCACTACTTTCAGAAGAATGATTAATATCAAATGAATCTTATGAGTTGTTATTTATTTCTTATTTATGCTGATTGTTGTATCTTGTATTTGATTATAAGTATTACAATAGTTATTAATATATTACATTGATTTAATTTTATTTAGATTATGTTTGTAATTCTACTATTTATTAAGATTTAGTTTACAATTCTTACTTCAGGGTTTACAAATCATCATCTAAATATAATTTTTATGTCAATTATGTTTTTAGTTTTTAATCTTTTTCTTCTTTTTCTTTTTTTACATTATTCATTTCATCGTTAAGATTTTTATTCAAATGATTTATATCTTAAATTTTTTATTATAGTTCTGAAATTACTTTCATTTGGGCTTAAATTGTTTCTTAATTTTTTTTAAATTAATCTGAATAATTTGAAGCTTATACATAATCTATTTAATTTTTTAAATTTTCTTCCAATTTATTTATTTGAGTTTATTTGTCTCGATTGTCTTGATTTTTTTTCTCAATTTCCTTTTTTTGTTTTTCTAGCATATTAAGAGAATAAACAATATAAGTATTAGATTAAGGATTTCCAAATTTTGAATACTCTAGATCTTGGTCTTTTTCATCATCCAAATATATTTTTATTATTTGTTTAATTTTATTCTCCTCACAATCAATTTCAAATGAATCTCCATTTAATTTATAAATGATTCTCTTTTCTTTTTACATTATTTTTATTTTAATTAATAAATATAAGATCTTTATTTTATTTTATTATTATTTTTTAATGAAAAAAAAATTTTAATCTATTTTTTATTAGTATAAATAAGGAATATTATCAACTAAAAATAATTTTTGTTAATTAAATATCCTACTCTATTGAATTTCTTAACATTAAATACTAATAATAATAATAATCAAATTCATTAACAATTAATGCAATTATTTATTTTTTTTTGAATATCAGCAATTTATAAGAAACCACATTAACATTTAGTAAAGTCTTTTTTACATTACCTTATTAATTATTAAACTTGATTTTATAAAAAGTTTTCATACGTAAACGAGTTTTGGCTTTGTTATTAATGTTTTAATGCATCTTTGATCATTCTAGAGTTTATCAAACTGTTACAAGTGCAAAAAATATTTGTTTAATTACAATTTGCCTTTATTTTTTATATTATACATTCTTCATGATAATAATGCAAACATGTTGTTAAGAAATGATTAAACTTAATTTGTTATCCACATTCTTAGCATGATTATGTTAATTCTTCAGTTTCAGACAAATTATCAATGTCATAATTATTATTTTCATTTTCTTGATTCACATTATTAGTATCATTAATCATTTTTTTTTAAAGTTCTTCTTATTATCTTCTGATCTCCTCTTGTAATTTATTATTTTCTTCAATCTTATCTTTAATTTCTTTTTCTTTTCTTTCTCTAATTTGAATTAATTGTTATACTAAATAAGTTATTTAAGAAATATAATTGTTAAATTGCTCATTTTAATAAAATTAATTTATTTTACTTTTTAATCAATTATGATTATTAGAAAGTGATCTAATTTATCGAATCAAAATTTAAAGGATTTATTTCTTGTATATTAAAGTGAAAATATCTTCTATTTTATTTTTCTACCATCTTTTCCAACTAAGAATCTGCTTAAAATTTATCAAATTCTAATTTCTAAAAATAATATTCTAAAATATTTTCATTAAAAATTTCATATTATTTTGACAATTTATCAAAATGTTTATTTAAAGAAATTTAAGTACTTTCTTAAGGATTTTAACTTAGCACCAGTGAAAAAAATTTAAGCATTTCCTTTTATTTTAGAAGCATAGATTTTCTCTATACTTAAGTTATAAAATTCTATAAAATTAAATCTGAAAAAAATAAATTGAATTAAAAAAAAAAAATATTTGAGGAAATGCACTAATAGTTTGATATCTAGTTTAATATATATTTTAGCATAAAAAAATTATTATAAAATCAACTTATTTTTTTCAATTTTAATTTAATTGAAAAGTAATTATTTTGTTTCATTTGAATAGAGAAAGTCAATAAGTGGCTTCTAAAATAAAAGAAATTGCTTACATTTTTTTCATTATTAATTACTTTTATTGATTATTTTTTTGATGTTGATATTAGAATATTAAAATTTTAATTCATGAAAAATGCTATGTAAAAATAAAAATCTCAATCTTTGCTTTAAATAAACTCTTTTTTGTGGTTTTACAGATAAATTAATACATAATTTAAAGAAGTCATCTTGATAAAATAACTTAGCGAAACCTCTTCTAATGGAGAGATTAGTAATGATAAGTTAAATTATATAACTAACATAGTAAATCAATTTTAGAATGATTTAGTAATTTTTATATATGAAAGTCAATATTGGGAATCTTAAGAAGGTTTTATTATGTTGGAAGGAGAATTCTAGAAAATAAAAGTAAATTAATTATTAGAGAGATTCTAGAATTAATATTTGCTAAAATTTTATGTGAATAATCTAGACTAAATTCAAAGAAAATTAGAAATGGCATTCAAATTTTTAGATTACATAGAATATGTATGCAAAAAATAAGATGAATTGGAAAATTTATATGATAATTTAGTTTAATGGATTAAGAGAAATTTGAGATGATTTTTATATAGTTATGAGTGTAATTATGATATTTAAGATTTTTAAATATTTTGACATGAATTATAGAGAGTATTAATAAGTTTCAGAGAGTATTTTAATAGCTTTTCATAAAGTATATAATAACAAATTAATATTTGGTATCAGACTTATGATATATATTGAATTAAATTATGATCACATAGCTGTTTTCTCCCATTTTTCAAAGTCTTTGAACCTCACCGTAAAGTCAGTATTATTTCTTTTGGCTTATGAGAAACTCTATTGAGATTATAATAAAATAAATTATACAGTAATAAAAGATTTGGCATCTTCACCAGCGTTCTCAAAAAGCTAACAAAAATCTTCAAACTCTAACTGATTGCCTTAGAAATCTCCAAGAAATGATTCTAAATCAATCTTAAGTTCGAATTCCTTTTAAATAATATCAATAATAGTTTGTTTTTAGACATAACCTGATCTATCAGGCTATCCACCCAAGGCAACAAATGCATCAACTAATATTAATTGATTTTTTAAATACTATATTCTTATGTGATTGTTTCTTCATCTTCTAGTTGTTATTAATAATTCTTTAATTTACAATAAAGATCACATATTTGTTTGAGTTCTAGTTATTTACCATCGTATGTTTTTATTTCTTCTTTGAATTTTGCAACCATCTTTTCGTTACCCAATAATTTCAAATCTTTATCATCAAATTATATAAATACCTCTCATAATATCATCAACCTCATTTTTACTAATATAGCCAGTTCCTTTAGGATCATATCGTTTAGCTTAAGTCATCAATTCTGTAATCTCTATTTGATTTAAGTTAAAGGCACTTTTTATTTATTGTATGATATCAGCTTCAAGTAACAGTGTTTTCCTTTTCATAAAATTATTTTTTTATTATTAAAAATTAGATACTATATAATACAATATATTTTATATTGATACACATCTCATTCTCAAAGTTTCAAGATAAAGTTACATTTTCTCTATGATATGCAATTATATTTTTATTAACAAATAAAATACTCATAATTATTTATAATGGTAATCATAAGTGTCTTCAAAATTCTTTTTAAACATTGCTTAAATATGTTCTACAAACAATTCAAAAGTAGCAAATTTATCTGGATTAATAATTTCATCCACCTTTATTGAAAGTTAGGTTGGCCTATAATAAAATAATTTCTTGATAATACCCTAAACTTGCATGGAATTTCTTCTCATTGAAAGCTTTTTCAATACCCAAAACAATGATAATTTATGTGTCAATTTTACGATCATAAGCATATTGAAGCATTCCATTCTTCATCTTTCCAACCTTATCACTTTCATGCATTCTGTGACCTTCAGGATATACCAACAAGTTTGGCCTTGTCGCTTTATCAAATTTGTTATCGATCCATTTAAAGAAGCTTTTTAATAATATTATATATTACTTATTTAGATCATTTCCTCCTCTTCTAAAAAACCATACTGATTGAGTAAATAATTATTGGAATATAGCAAGCATTGGAAATGCCACTGCTACCATCCATCTAGCTAAGAAATTGGCACTATATTAAGAAACCACGTCATGAATAAAGAAATCTCCCTGTGTCCTATGATTAAATAGTAACATTGTCTTCAATTCAATAACAAAAGATTACTCTCTTATTTGTTTGAACTTTTTTAGAGTTTGGTAAATATCTGAATTTAAGTCTTAATGTCTTGACTGCTAATCGAGACCAAAACTCTTAAGCTCTTTTAGGCTAAAATGTCAAAAATGAATAGATTGGACCAACGACTGATAATATGAAGAAGATGTATATCACAATCCCAAAAAATTTAATCATTATTTCTTTTTAAAACCATATATTATTGATTTAAGTTTTCTAATTAATAATCTAGAAGTTCTTTTTTTTTCCAAGAAAATGCAATAAGATAAAAATTTCCCGTTTCATCAGGTAATATATCAATCAATATTTCGATAATCTATAATTGAATTCAATACTACTGCAGCACCCCAAAAATATTCAAATAATCATTATTTTTAATTTTCAAATAAATGCTAGAACCTTCTAAAGAGTTTTAAGAAAAAGCAAAAGGAAGATAAAAATTTTAGCATTAAGGAAGAACGATTTATGAATGGGATTAAACATTAGATGATATTAATATATACATAGAGCCGCCAAAGGCTGTTTTAAAAAAGTATGAAGATTAAGTGAGATAATAATTGAAACCTGGAGAGTAAATGCCAAAATTAGAAATATAAATAAAGGCTGATCACATAAAGATTGGAATAAAGGGGAATCCAGCATTTATTGATGAACCATTAGTGAAATAATGTGATTCAAGTGAATCATACTGGTTAATAGAAGATGAAGAACTTCATATAATATTATAGAAGGCATACAAAGGGGAACTATGGCCAAGTGTGTTTGTAGGACATGGAAAGGTAGATCCATTAACAGAGTAGGAATTGTAAAAGAAGATGCTTTTAGAGAGATTTTAAGAAGAGCATCCAGGATTTGATTTTTCAGGAGCATAAGTAAATGGAATGGTACCGGATGCTCGATCGTTTATGGGAGGGATAAAACATAATTGAATAAAAATTTATTATTATGAATATATTATAAGAGTACGAATTGTAAGAGTGTTTAGGGAATGGATCTTATGGGATAGTACATAGGGGAGTAAATGTAGAGAGTAGGAAACGAGTAGCAATAAAGATGTTAAGAGAGACATTTGAATCAATGGATGAATGTTTAAAATAGAGAGAAGTGAAGGCATTAATGAAATTGAAGGAGCATCCAAATATAATAAAACTGCTGGAGAGTATGCATAAGTGCATGTGTTAGTGAGATACGAGAATAAGCGCCTGTATTTGATCTATGAGTATGTGGAGAACAATGTGTACTAGTTATATACGTAGGATAAATTGGATGAAGACCGTATAAAACATATAATATTGGGATGTGCTAATGCATTGATACATATTCATCAGTTGGGATATTTTCATAGGTATATTTAATTATATTAAAAAATAAGGGATATAAAGCCAGAGAACATTTTGATATCAAATGAATAAGTGAAATTAATAGACTTTGGTCTTTCAAGAGAAGTAAAACCACCATTTACAGATTATGTTTCAACTCGTTGGTACAGAGTAATAAATATTGAGATTAAAAGGCTCCTGAAATTCTGTTACATTCTATAAGTTATGATACATAAATTGATGTATTTGCTTTAGGATGTGTTACATGTGAATTGTTTTTAGGTAGACCATTATTTGTTGGCTCTTCTGAATTGGAATAATTTGATCGAATGTTATAAATATTAGGGTATATTATATTAAATATTAATTTAGAACATTTACTAGTTAAGATTGGAGTGAAGGAATTAAGTTGGTTAATCAATTAGGATTAAAACTGACACATTATCCATCTAAATTATTACATGTAATCAAAGCATCCCCAATGGCTTTAGATTTGATATAAGGAATGCTCAAATGGAATCCTAAATAACGGTTTACAGCCAAATAGATTACTGAGCATTTACTATTCAAGCAGTAACAAACCACTCCAGAGTTCGCTCCAAGAAAATTATAAGATATCAGCCAATAATAATAGGAGTTAAAAAAATTTACCAATTAAAAACAATAATACTAATCGAAGAAGTGATTTTATATTATTTTGATTTATGAGATAAGTTTTTGGTACATCAAGATTTCAGAACCAATAATTTAATCCTTCATTGAGTGGAGCAAAGTTAGATTCGAATATGAAATTGCACTCTAATTACAAGAATTTGGAATAGCATTAGTTAAGTAAGATTAATGAAGAGAGACCACAAGCACATTAAACATTTGGTCATCGCTATCAACAATAAGATTTTGAATTCTTAAACTTGTATGAATCAACGAAACAACTTGTATCAGTTTAAATTTAATATTGTGAACCTCATGAATTGGCGGCTGATTTGATTTTAAGGTATGATTTAGTAGGAGATTCGAGTTTAATAGAGGAATAGAAAGTAGATGAATAAAAAGTTGTTTAATTGAATAATTAATGTTAGATTGCAACAGAAATGAAGATGGAATTTGACTAATGATAAATAATAATATATATCATAAATTTGCTGCAATACTAAGTTTATTACAAGTATCCTCTAATAAGCTTAATAAATGTTCTTCAGATTATTCTCTTGTTCTCTTTTCTTAATCTAATTCAACTTTGACTCTATTAACAATATCCTTCAACATTTCAAAAATGGATTATTCACTTTCATCTCTGTTTCTTTTTTCAACATTAATAAGATTGCTTAACTTAACCAATTCATCTGTAATAGATTTCATAACCTAATAATTAATATTATATATTACATTTTAATCAGCTTCATCTCTTTCAGTAGCTTCTTCTTTGATTGCCTCTTGAATCTTAGGTAAATCATTCTAAAGACCCTAATGAATGCCTTCAATAGCATCCACTCTTTAGGCTGTCTCTTTTTATACTTCAGTTCTTAATAGTGCTGTTTTATCCTCTGTCAATCTAAGAACTTTAGCTTCTCCTTCTTTTTTAGTTTACTATTCATTCTCTATAGCATTCTCAAACTTCTTAGTTAATGCTTAAACTTCTCTATTCTTGGCTTCATTTGCTTACTCCTTTGCCAATCTATCATCTTCAACTTATTTTTATAATTTGCCTAACTGTTAACGAACATTTAAAATTATTATATACTTGATCTCTTAATCCATTTAACTTTGTAAATATTTACTCCTGAAACTCATTAAAAGTATCTTCTGCTTATTATATTCTCTACTCTGCTTATTCCAACTTTTAGAATCTCTCATTCTCCACTCCTATCTATATTGTTGATAATTTCTCTGAAATCTTTTAAATTCTTCCTGTACTTGGAGATGGTTACACATCTATATATTATAAATACTTATATTCTTACATGCAGATTATTTCACTCTTGACATCAGATATATATATTTTAATTATTAATTTTATTTCTCATAATTAAGTATATAAAATTATGTCAAAATAATTAACAAGACTAGACACTGATAGTGATCTAGAAGAACCAGAATCTTTAGTTTATAAATAAAGTAATCTTACTATTTTATCTATTTAGTGAAATAAATGCAAAGAATGTAAGGTATATCTTAAATGATTACAGAGATTATTTAAGAAGAAGAACTCTCTGAAGTTGAAGATAAACATAAATACATGAAGAATTTAGTTGGACGAAAACTCAGTCAACTTGATAGTCCAACTGATTCAGTCAAATCTTCCTAATCTTCTAAACCTTTCTAAAGTCCTAAAAAAGCTCTTAAACGAGACACTGTCTTTTTTGAATAATCTGATTTCAATATTCTAAGCATAAGAGATTATGATTATATTGAAGTATTTATAATCATTTTTATATAGATTAAAAAATGTGAAAAATGTGCTATTCATGAACAAAGTGAAATTGAAGCCAGAGCATCTGCTAAAAAAATTGTTTCCTTACTTAAAAAAAGATAAGACTATAATCCTGATCTTTAAAGTGATTGGAATGGATTAGAAGAAGTTACTACTTATTCTGCTGATACTCAAGAACCTATTGTTGATTATAGATCTCATATTGAACCACTTCCAAAAATGGAAAAAGTTGATATACATGTTTCAGATGGTGTCTATGCTGTATAATAGGATGGATAGTGGCTTACCAAAATGCATTCTATCAAAGAATTTGTTAAAGATCTTCTTACTTTTGTTGAAATTGCTAATGATAAAATGATTTCCAGTTGGTGCTATTCAAGAAATAAATATCTAGAATCTAAATTCAAAATGCATTGCTTATTCAATAGTGACAGAGAAGCTGAAGATCAAAAGCGTATTAAGAATCGAGATTTTTATAGTATTCTAAAAATAGATACTCATATACATCATAGTCAAAGTATGAATGGTAAATAATTACTTGAATTTATGAAGAAAAAATTCAGATAATGTCCTGAAGAAGTTGTTTATAAAGATGATGAAAAATTAATGACTCTCAAAGATATCTAAAAAAGATTCAAATTTAAAACTGAAGAATTAAATATGGATTTATTAGATGTTTAAGCTGATAAATCTCTATACAAAAGATTCGATAGGTTTACCAGTAAATACAGTCCACTTGGATAACCACTATTAAGAAGTATTTTTTTAAAAACTGACAATTATATCAAAGGAAAATATATTGCTGAAATAACTTAAGATATGATTAAGAATATGGACAGACATACTTATGCAGAATGGAGAATAACAATATATGGGAAATCAAGTAGTGAATGGAGAAAGAAGGCTTAATGGTTAATTAAGAATAAATTATAGCATCCAAATATTAGGTGGATAATTTAATTACCTAGACTTTATTCAGTGTACAGAAAAAATAAAGAGTTAAATTCATTCTAAGATATGATTGATAATATTTTTAGACCTTTATTTGAAGTTACAATAAATCCTGAAATTGATCCAGATTTATATTAAGCATTATTTAGTATATCAGCTTTAGATTGTGTGGATGATGAGAATCAACATGAGAATTTCTTTCTTTAACATCTAAAGATTCAACCTATCAATTGGACTAAAGATTCAAATCCACATTATGCTTATTGGATATATTACATATATGCAAACTTAGCAAGTTTAAATTAATTAAGATAATAAAGAGGATTAAATACTTTAGATCTTAGACCACATTGCGGTTTAAATGGAAATATTGATCATTTGGCTTGTGCATATTTATTAGCAAAAGGAATCAATCATGGACTTATTTTAGAACAATCACCAGTTTTAAAGTATTTATATTACTTGAAATAAATTGGTATATCAATGTCTCCAATTGCTAATAACAAATTGATATGTAGATATGCAGATTCACCTTTTAACAGTTATTTCAGATAAGGACTCAATGTATGTTTATCAACTGATGATCCACTTATGTTACATATGACTGACTAACCATTATTAGAAGAATATGCTATAGCTTAATAAATATTTGATTTATCTAATGTAGATATGGCTGAATTAGCTCGTAATTCTGTTCGTTGCTCAAGTTTCGAATCTATCATCAAAGAATTCTATGTTGGAAATCAATATGAAAAAATGTATAAGACTATTAGTAATTATAATCATTTATTCCTTAGATAATCCAGATAAAAATAATGTACCTTAAAGTAGATTCCTATTTAGGTAAGAAACACTTAAAGAGGAATATCAATACTTGCAAGAACTAAGCAAGTCTTAATGATATTTAATATATATTTAATATAAAAAATGGATTATTTTAAATTCGGGTCTGTGATCATTCCAGGTAACTTAGTCTTTTGGAATAAATAATATTGTTACTGCATTATTCCTGTTGTTAAATTATTACCTGGCCGTAATTTATTATAATTAACAATTAGATGTCTTACTAATACCTAAGAGATAGGCACTTAGATTATAAGATTTAGATCCAGCTGAAATATTTGACTTAGGTCTAAGTGTGAAATTTTTAACAAAAAGTCTTGAAAAGTATTTTGATTGTACATCATCTACAGTGAATGTTTCATCATTTTCTAATGAATCAGATGGATTGAATCATTGCTTTATCCATATAATTCCTCGTAAGGAAGGAGATATAAAGAAGAACGATGATCTGTATGGTTTGCTTGAGAATTATCCTAATGAGTATATGATTATGTAAATTTAGTTTTATTCGTTAATTTCATAATACATTAGGATTAGGTAATGCCTTTAGTGATTAGATGAGAGATACTTTAAGTTAGGAAGCTAGAAAATATAAAGAATTTTTATAATAATGTTTACAAGAGGAAATAAAACTAAAATGATTATATAAATATGTTATTATTTCAAAGTATGGAAGATTTGTTGTTTTAGGTAATAATCCAGAAATCTTTTTATCTCTTAGGTAAGATATCTCGATACTTCCTTTAAACAATTTCAGGCATTTTAATTTCATCATAGATATACTATTTGATAGGTTTATCAATTGAGACAACGATGGTCTTATGAACAGAATCATTCTTTGATGTAATTCTAGGGACAGCTACTTCAGTTTTATGTATAGTAGCATATCTAACTTTAACTCTTTTTTAACAAGCTTAATTATAAATTTATGCATATCTTGAATGAGTTTTATCAAGTACTCTCATTTCTATTTAACTCCATTCTTTATTGCTTTATGTCTTAGATTCTGGTAAACCAATTAAATATTCACTATTCTAAGCTAAAGTCATAGTTACTCTTTCAATTCTCTCTGTTCTATTAAGTAATTATGCTTTTATATATTAATTTATATATCTTTAAGCTTCTAAACTTGGTTAATCTGAGATCACCTTCTAATAAAAATCTTCATTGCTTATTTTGTAACAACTACCTTATTTAAAACATTTAACAGTGAAATATCTTTATTTATTCAATAAACATTCTAAATCACCAAATAATTGATAGATTCCTATTTCACTTATAGTAATATTTTTCCATCTATTTTCAACTATCATTTTTTTCTATAATTAAAATATTCCATCTCGAACTAAATAGATTGTTGATGAAGGTTCACCTTCATAATATACTATTTGAGTTTTATCAAATATTTCTATTTAACAGTTCTTTAATAGTCTTTCTATCATTGCTTTAGATAATTATCCAAATAATTGTGATTATCTAAAGAATTCTAATTATTCATTTGGATCTTTTAATTTAGCCTTCCTCTTAATATCTTCATAATCATATTTGCTTATAGTTCCAAATTTTGTTTTTGTCACACTTTTTATATTCTATATATATGGTAGATTAAGTAAAGCTTCAGTTCCAAAATATGTTTTTTTAATATTAATTTCTCCTTCCATCAATAAATAAAATAAATCACCTATCTCCCCAGTATGAATAATTTCATCTCCTTCTTCAAATTCTACATTATGAATTTTGTCATAATACTCATTAGTACATTATATACATCCTAATTAATTCAATTTCTTAATTCCTTAATGATTTAAAAGGAATTAAGATAATTATTTGAGATGATGATCTGTTTTATAATGAATTTACTTCGGAATTTCTTACATTATTAATAAAATGAATAAATTTACATAAACATTTAGATAATAACATTTAGAAAGTCTCTATCAAAAAGGAAAATAAGATTATTGTTACAATGGCTTTAAAAAGATAGCCTTTCTTTCATTGATAATGATTCTAATGCGTTTAATCACATTTGGACAACAAAATAATGTTATTGGAATCTTAATCACTTCTAGCTTTCTTCTGATTATTTTAGTGATGACATTTCTAATAATTAGATTTTGTTAATCAAGTACAATCTTTTGTATGATATTCATTAACAATTTACTCATCTTGCTATAATTATCAGATCAATCAGACTAAAGTAATTAATTTATTCTTGGAACAAATGTAGCTATTGCTCATATTAGTATACTTCTGATCATAGATTACAAATTAACTCTAATGAGTATTTTCATTTAAACTGCTTTAAAATTATTTATTGCTGCTATTCTTGATGGCAATATTGATGCATTTTCTATCATACTATCTATTTTCTGTCCTTTATGTTTCATATCTATTGTACATACTATTGAAAAACATAAAAGACTTCTCTTTCTTAGCAATAATCAAGGAAATGATTGGCGTATAATACTTTTATTATTTTAGATTCATTATTGCCTTCTATTATTACTGATCCATTCATCTTATTCACATATGATGAAGAAAGAATGTGTTTTAGATATAAAAATTCAAGTTAAATTTATCATTTCCCATACTGTGCTAGTGAATTATAAGCTGAAGAAAATTTTAGATAATTTCTAAGAATGGCATTTATTGGTTAAATTTCATTAGAATAATTTATATTAAATAGAATTGAAAAATAAACTAAGTTTTTTGATTTAAATTAATTTACACTCAAATCTAATCAGTAAGATTCAACTGATTTTGAAGAAAGATCCATTCTATTAGCTGAACTTTATCATCTAGAAGATAATTTCTTAATTGTTCTTGAATAATCTAAATAAAGAGCTTTAACTTTATAATCTACAAAAGATTAATTAATTGATTTAATTGGATAACATTAATAGTTAGTTTAAAACTTCCTTAAAAAATAAGGTTCGATTATTAATCGTTGTATTTTAAATTAATATAATAGAATGCACTTAATATATTAGGTTAAATTACATCATATGTATTTCGAGGGTAAATATAAAGTATCTAATTCATTCTAAAAACTTTAATTTGCCTCTGAAACTGTAAACTTAAATTTCAAAATTATATTTCTTTCTATGATTTCATTATTCAAAAAAGCTTACAAAGATTGGAATTTCTATTTTGATTGTTCTGATACATAATATGATGTTATTCATTATAAGGATATGGCTTAAGATTTCATTATTCAATTATTATAAGTTACACTTAGAAAAACAAATAATGATTACCAAACTTAAACGCGAATCCTATTACATTCTAAATCTGAATTGCTATTTATTCGTATTATATGTGTTAATACATATTTGCTAGCTGAAAATTTAAATAAGAATTTGGTTGTTAAATATTTTTTAAAATTTCATTCCCCAGAAACAGAAATCAAAGTAACTGAAGGAGGAGTATTTATCTAATTATACAAAGATGTTTCAATTTTGAAATCATTAGATAAATTTGAGAGTTACAATTGATTATATACCCATAAAAATGATATATTACTATCTGTTTTGAAATATATACAACAATTATCTAATCATTAATTAAACTATATTTATAACAATTTTTATTTTAAAATTACGATATAAACTATAAAACTATAAAACTATTTTTATTGATGATTAAATTTAATTGATTCATTCTAATCAATTTAATCAACCAGTATAAAATTCTTGATTAAATCATAAGCAATAATCTTAAAAGTTAATATAATTAAGAATGATAATGATATCTTTATTTTATATGAATAATGTATTCGTTTTAAAAATAATATAGAAAATTATATAAAATGGTGTATTTTAAAAAAAAACATGATTCTTATTTAAGTTTACTGTTTATTACTGATATGCGAGAAAAGCAGTTTAGATTAATATTTAAAAATGCAGAACAAGAAAGCTATTTATTATAAAAATTAAAAATGATGAAATCTAAATTTACATTGCAAAGCTATGTTAGATCTTGTACTTTGATTTCAAATAATTAAAATCCAATACGTTTAATGCTAAATCCAAAAACGAAGTTTAATGACATAATGAAATTGATTTAGATAGTTTGGAGATAAAATGTATAGTAATTAAGACTCTTTTTAATTGATGGAACAGAAATTGAAGAGAAAGATTTGATAAATATACAAAAAGGAACTAACCTGTATGCTCAATTAAAGAATGATGATAATGAATTAAGCAATTTAAAGTCAGAATATGATATAATAAAAAGAGTTGGAGAAGGTGGTTAAGGTATAGTATATTTAGGAAAGCATAAAGTAACACAAGAATTAGTAGCAATTAAGAAGATAAGCTCTTCAAAATAATAAAATTTAGAATTAGAAAGACTGGAATAAGAATCAATAATCCTAAAATAATTAGATCATAAAAACATAGTGAAATTACATGAAAAAGTAGTATGTTCGAACTAAAAACAAGTTTTTATGATAATGGAATATTTATAAGGAGGATCTCTATTGACATAAGCTAATTGTAATATCATATTAAAATTATAGCTTAATTAACTGAAAGTGAAGCTAAACATTTCTGTAAATAAGTAGTAGAAGCTATTGCTTATTGCCATGAAAAAAAAATAGTTCATTGTGATTTGAAGTTAGAAAACATAATGTTGTCATCTCTTTTATAAAAAGAAGTAATTATTTATAAATATTTAATTAGATAAAAATAATTGATTTTGGTGTTTCTAATTATGCTGGATAACCTTTGATTACTGAAAATATTGTTGGAACATTATCTTATTTAGCTCCTGAAGTGTTATCTTCTTCATATAAATAAATTTATCCTCCTTAAGATGTATGGGCTATTGGTTGTATTATATATGGTTTAGTCTTTGGTAAACTTCCATTTGATGGAAACAATCCATCAGAAACTTATAGAAATATTCTTTCATGTAATTATTAGATACCTAAAAAATCTGTATCTAAAGAATTATTACAATTATTAAGTAGTATATTTGTAGTCAATCCAAAAGATAGAGCAAATATCTTTGATATTTAATCTCATAATTGGTTTAAAGAATATGCAAAGATATTTAAATTAAATTTAAGTGGATTCAATGTTCGTATTGGTAGATCTTCAAGTGTTACTAAAATGTATTCATCAAGAAAATCATATGATGAAGATCAAGGATTAATTATTAGCCATAGAAAAATTGTATTTAGTAGAAGATCTGTTACTAGACTAGATAAAGTTTCATATGTTGCTAAAATTAAATGATTTGTATATATTATTTCGAAAATTATTATAATAAAAGTACATACAAAATATTATATATTAATTAGTTTAATCATTCAATTTCTTCTTCAAGTACTCTTATTTCATTTAATTTCTCGAGATTCTTATATATTAAGAATTAACAACCTATTTCATAATTATTATTAATATTTACAATTCTCTGATGTTATTATATCAACTTTAGGACTTAATCTAACTTAAATTTTATAAAATAATTAATTATTTATTAATTTTTACTTGAATTCTTATGTTTTATCAAATATTATACCAATTTTTATTAATTAAAATTCAGAATTGCTTTTTGAATCAGTCAAATGAACAAATATTGTTCTACCATTTTTATTTAATCGAACAAATGTTTAAAATAAAATGATCATAAATATTTTCAGTAATTATTCATTACTAAAAGCATAAATATCCACAAAACTATTACTTGAAAATTCAATTTGAATATTCTTATAAGCCATATTATAAATGTGTATCAAATCTTTTATCATTTCAGTAAAATTAATTTATTAAAGCTTCTCTTCAATATCTTAAAAACTATTGCATTGTGTATACTTACCAATAAAATACATACAATGAATTTTTAACTTATATATATGTTCAGTTGTATTTTTTTAAATTAATGCATTCTACATTAAAACTAATTATTTCCTTAAGAAATTAAGGGTTAAATTTTAATGCTGATTTATTCCTTAGATTAAAGCATCTTTAAGTTTTGAAAGTTAACGAATTTTCTATTCATGTTGATCAAATACTATTAAAAATACTTATTATCCTAAATAAAAATCTGATAATCGTATTATTGTCTTTTTTTATTCAATATCTTAATCATATTTTTAAATTCTTAAATTATATAAGAAAATCTATTGATAATCATTGCAACTTCTTTTCCTATTCAAAATATATTATTCAAGATTATCATTTCCCATTTTATAAGATCTTAAAAATGATCTCAAATTTTCAGATGGTGCTTTTTCAGTATCCCAAAAGATTTTTTTCATATCATTCTATAATTTTAAATTAAAATTAATTCTCTCTTCATCAAAAGTAAACATCAAAAATGGACTTTATATTATTACTGGCAAGGTTTATTCTAATTAAAATTATGAATTTACCCCATTATTTATCAGAAAATTATAATTAAAAATGAGCTCTCTAATTTTAATCATTTTAATAGATAAATAATAAAATACATAGAGTTGTTATTATTATTTATATGAAATCTTAAACTATAAAAAAGTCATTTTATAATCCTTAAATTAATATTCTTGATGTAAGAAAAACAATTAATTAAATTGGAGCTTCTTAAATGCTTGAAAAATAAAACATTGACATATTGAATATCATAACATTTTATCCATTAATATAAATGGATTAAGGTTATTGGTAATAGTTTGCATAAGCTTATAGAATGCTTAAGAGATTATTTGTAAATGAAAAGATGCTTTTCACTTTTTCTGGTGTGCATTTAAAAGAAACAAACAAAAGAAATATACTGTAACAAGCAAAACAGATTTCCCAATACATAACTTCACTATTTCCTTCTACTATAGAATTAATTAATCTCACTAAAGCAAACTATAATAATAATATAGACAGAATCTTTCTCATCCAAACATTTTTTATTAATCGATCTTATTAATAAGCTTTTTCAATTCCAGGAAGTGCAAATTAAAAACTAAACTTCTTTTTCATTTATATATATATATATATAAATTTATTTTAAAGTGTGATCACATCTGAATCGATATTAGGAATTAATTAATTCAGAAATACCAACAAATTAAAAATGCAATTAATAACATCATTATTAATACAATCATATAATTTCTTCTTAGATTTTGCGAATATTTTCTAAAGTTTCCTAATTTTTATACACTAATAGTTTAAGAGCTAAAATATTAATTTTCTTTTTTACTCATGTTTATTAAATGAATTTCGATATTTGGACAAACTCTTCTTTATATTTTTTAAAATAAGGGATTCTATTCCAACTCAAACTTAAGCTATGTACAACATTCAGTTTAAATTTTTATATAGATTAATCTTTAGTTATTTCTGTCTAGACCATAAAATATTTTATTTTTCAAATCTAATGCTTTTAATCTAATTATAATCTAATATATGATTAAAATAAATGTTTGAATTAGTTCTTCATTGCTTCTAATATAAATATCCTAATATTCTTGGGGAACTAATTCAAAATTTTTTGTATTATAAGCATTACAAAATAAAATATTTATTTATTTCAATAATTTACTTATATTGATATCTTTGATGTTAAGATCAACTTCTGAAAAACTGTTTATTTAATTAAACTACCCTAAAAAATACATACAATGAATTTTAAGTTTAGAAATCTATTACTAAATATTTTAACATTATTTTAAGTTAGACAATAAATATAATTATTTTTTTAAAAAACTTATAGTAATAGATTAGTTTTTATTTAAACATTCTATTAACTAAAGTTTAATTTTTTCAGATTATTCTTAATTTTATTCATTAAAAGTTATTAGGTAGTACTTTTCCCCCAAAAAACATTCAGTATAATTAATACTTAAAGTATCATTTTGATCAATACCATAAACATTAAGTTTTTTTGTAAAAATATAATCATAATTTTCTTAAAAATGAGATATCCTTGATAAGATAAATTACTCTAAAGAAATTTATTCAATATAATAATTCCTTAAAAAATGTCTTAAATTTTTTGTATCATCCCAATTAATTGATGTTATTTTACTTCCTAATTTTAAATTAAATGACTAGGTTTTTTAATCAAAATTTATCAAAAAAAATTAATTTTGTACTAAATAAGGCATAAATTTAACTAAGTTATGATAATTTTATACTTAATTGTTAAGAAAAGCATTCTTAACTGAAATTGCTTTTCAATCTTTTTTGATTATAATAAACAAATTATAGAATTACAAAATCACCAATCAATTAATAAATAAAATTTTATATTGCGAAACCATCCTCCATTGTGAAAATCCAAGTTTTAATTCCTATACTTAATAATATTTGAATCAAAACAATATTAAAATCTATAAAACTATAAATTATTATATTGAACATCATAATTAGTTAAGAGTTTTCATATATTTCTTAAAAATTCTTAGTTTGATAAACTTAAATCTACATCAAACAAAATATTAAACAGGTCAGTTAGTTAGTTAATTTCTTAATAAAAAGATTTCCTTTTATGGATATTGCTACTTATAAGATTGATTGTATCACAAATACTCCTCCACCTATTAAATAATATTTCTTATCATAAAATAGAGTTGATAATAATCTTGCTATTGAATAAATAAGCATTAGGAAAAAGATTAATCTTTATTATTGTTTTGAGCCTTGATAAACAAAATCTTAAAATGAAGCCTAAACACTTGAATCAAATTTAAGACTAAATGATTTATTCATAAAGATAATTAATAAAATAGCTTAATCATTTATCTTATTTGATAAGTCATAATTTTAATTATTTTTACTTTACATATAGTAGGAGTATTTAACTTTAAATATAAAATAAAAACATTTTTATGATGATGAATATACAAATTAGAATAACAATTTATTAATTGACAATATGAAATATAACTTAAATGATTTAACTTATCAATATAAATATATAATTCATTTATTAATATCAATTTTTTTATTACATTAATCAGAAAATAGTTATAAATAAATTCATAAGTATTTTGTATTCATTTTACAATAATTAATCCATTTAGGAATCAACTTTTAAGGATTAATTATTTTTTTATAAGTAAATAATTTCCTTTCATATAAACCGGTATTTAATTATGAAATTTATATAACAATATTTATTAAATAAATAATTAGAAAATTGAAAAATGTAAAAAATGAAATGTAAAATGTCCTTTTTTTTATGGTAATTTTTAGGAATTATTTTATATTTATCACTTGAATTACTTTAAAAATTCACTTAAAAATGAAAATAATAAAAAGATAAATTTAGAATTAGTGAAATATATTTTATGGAACATTCAGCAAATCAAACCGTTTGATAAATACAATTTGTAATTGTATATCATTATTTCTTATATTCTTCATAAAATCCATCGATGGAATACTCTAAATTGCCAATCTTCTTAATTAAATTGAAATCAATGTTAGATGTACAATTTTATCATGAATATATAGGATTAATGTAACTAACACATAATAAGTTGGAATAATTAGGGAAATAAAGTTATCATACACTAAATTGATGAATTCAAATCATCAATATTACCATTATATTTTAAAAGTACAAACTATTCCAGCTTCTAAAAGTAAAATTATTATGATAATGAAGATAATTAAATAATTATGGATTTAAGAATTTTAAATAATCTTCAAGACAATGTGAATTTTATAACTAGTTTTGGACTCATGATTATTAAAGAATTCATTTAATAATAAGAAAGAAACATAATTTAGAAGATGTTAATTCTACATCCAATTTTATGTCTTCTTTATTATTGTTAATATCAAATTAGAAGTAATTGATGGCCAATATTGAAATGATACATCGCTAATAATCTATGATAAGTTAAAATATTTATCAACTCCACACAGAATCAATAAAGTAATAAGACTTAATTATTAACTTACCTGAATTACAGATTTGATTGATTATTTATCCATTTTATTTTTGTATATACACCTTTTAAACATCATTTGCTTCATACTCATATATCACAAACATGAATTATAAAATATGTTTCAAATATATTTATATTATACTTTTAGCAGTGAATTAATAAAGATAAAATAAAACAATTTATATTTTAAGTCACTAATCTTAAATATAAAATCTGTTAAATTTCTAGAAAATTTACATAATTTTGAAATTATGGGATGGTTTAAAGAAAAATTTTGCAATTTGCAATGCAGATGAAGAATATATTTTGTATAAAATATATTTTTTAATATAACAATTTTTCTAATTCACATGAGATAATTAAACAAAAATGTATTAATAAATATTATAAAAGATAATAAAATTATATTCATATACAGATAATAGAGATTTTATTTATTAGAATGAGCTTTAATCTTCTGAATAATATTTTATTATTTATTAACTTAAAAAGTAAAAATTTTTGTGATTCACTAATTTTAGCTTTTTTTGAATCTAATATGTTTTAATTTCTTTAGATAAATCAATATTGTAGCATTAAATACTGAATAACTATAAATATTTTAAATTATATAAACATAGAAACAAGTTAATATCAAAATTCTTTGATAGTAGATTATCTTATCTATTATTTAATAATCATATGTGAAAGACATCTTTTTCTAGCTAATTTACATTAGTACTATTTTGATTAGAATTAATTTAATATTGATTATTCTTTTTCTGGTTATTTTTAAAGGGAAAACTGTTTTTAAATTCTTTTAATTGAGGAATTGTTTTCTTCTGAATCTAATCGTTAACTATTTGTTTTTTTTCTAAAACTATTTCTACTATTCAATCGTAGAAGATTCAGACTAAGTTTATGATGAGAGCCATGAAAACTAAGATTCAATTTATTTTATTATTTGAAATAAGGATGATCTATAATTCCTTGTATTTTAATTCTTGAATCAGGATCTTTAACAAAGATTTACTTTAAAAGTTCTTTTAAAATAGGATTAGCATCATCTCTTATTTAATATTTTTATTGATTCACATTTTATTAGATAATTAGTTTTGTTCTACCATCAAAAGGATAGGATTAAAAATTTAGATAATATATAATTATACCAAATGCCCAAATATCACTTGAAAGTGTAAATTCTTTTGATGTTAACAATTCTGGAGCATAAAAATTATAATTATTTATTGAAGTTAAATTTTGAATTCTATATGCATTATTAAGGCCCACATCGGTTAATTTTAACTAATTGATATATAAATTAATACGCTATTCAAATTTTCTTTTTCAATAAGAACCAAATTTTCAAATTTCAGGCTTTTTATGATGATATTTCTAGTATGACAGTAAAATATGATGTCAGCTAAATTTTTAATGATTGCTTTGATCTCTTGTTCGGAAAATCTTTAATTTTCTAAACATATGATGAAATAATATACAATTTAATATGTATTTTAAGGACTTCCCTTAACAATATTCAGTTATTAAGACTATTTCACGTTGTCTTTAGAAAATAATAATGTCGTGTATATGAACAAATTTAGAACAATTTTCATCTTTTATTTATTATAAAATTTTAACAAAGTGGGCCAACTCATCTCTTGAAAAGAATTTAGTTGAAATTTGTTTAATAATTACATCTGTTTTATTGGATTTAATTTTTCCAACCATTGTAATTGAATTTGGATTTTGACAAAGTTGATCATTTATTGAGTAATTCAAAAATAAAACATTAAAACCTAAATCTGAACCATCAAGAGTAGCATATAATTTTGAACCTTATCTAATTAAATATAAATCTTCTTCAAAAATTTCACTTCCATTAGATAAAAATATTCTTAAAAAAGTAGGGCTAATTTTCCATGCAATTTTGATAACTTTATTAATTTCAGAATATGTAGTTTATTTATTGATTATGATTCGTAATGGATGATAATTCACAGCATACAAAATGCTTGATTTACAATAATTATTATAAGCATGGTTATTTGACATAATTTTTGTAATTAATTTCGTTTGAATAAATAAATGCATATATAGAAAAAGAATTAATCATAAAGTTAGAGTACTTTTGACAAGAATGTTTTTATTAGATTTCTCTTTTTTTAAACATATATAATATAATTTAATATACATCCTTTGTATTTTAAAATCTGTTGATATTTTAGATATCAAGATTTAAGTAGTTAGATACTTGAATTGATAATGAAGTCTAATTTTTTGAGTTGTTATAGTAATTTGGATATAAGAATGCCAAACATTTTCGAATGATGATAATTGGAGAGATTTTAGATAAAAATACGGATACTATTTAAGTTGTTATATTTTAAAAAGAATGGAGAAAAGAGATAAAAATAATGTCAAATTTAACCTAGGTTAATATTTCTTCTTTATAGTATTGAATTGGTTTGGATGTTGAGGTTAAATTTCTTAATTTTTTTAGATCGTTTATTGGATAGTTGTGTGTTTTATATATTGAGCTGTTTAAAGAGTGATTTAATTTCACTTTCTTATTCTATCTATAGAAATTCAATCATTTCATTATCAAAAGATTCTTGTTTGAATTACATTTGTTCTTTGACTTAATATTATTTATTTATATGTTTAAATAAATGAAAATCATTATTGATTTAATAATAGCCATAAATTGAACTGGATTTAATAATTATATTATTCATATAACATGAAGTATCATAAAAAGTAATTTCATACTATGATTGAAAACTATTAGAAATTTTATTATTAACTTTTTTTGTTGTTGATAGTTTTTTGACTGTTTGACTTACAATTGAATAAAATAGAAAAAGTAAAATAAGTTAATGAAGAATATATATTATTTATAAGAGGTATAAAAAGTAAAAAGTTAGAAATAATGAAAAGATTGGTTTTGTGTGAATAAAAGAAGAATATATATATATATATAATATAATATAAATTAAATATATAAAAATGTAGTATTAATAATTTTCTGAGAGTGAATAATAACAAAGTACATTGAATTTAGGGTTATATTATTTATTTTACAATTCTGGTAGTGGAAGTGTAAAAGCTAATCAATTTTGTGTATTGGATGTAAATTTGTTATAATAATTTAGTGTGCAGATATAAATTTAAATGTAGATGGTAAAGAAGTGTAAATTATGTTTTATAGTATTTAAAATGTGGCTTCTAGAAATTAAGGTTATAATAAATTAAAAGAAGATTTACGATAAAGTATTATTTGATATAATGTAGATAAAAAATAAATACCAATAGTTATAGCAGGAGGAGATGGTTCAATGATGTGGGTAATTGAGTAAATGATATCACAAAATATTGATATTAATTAAATAGTTATTATTCCATTACCATGCGGAACAGGAAATGATTTTTCAAATGCTTTAGGTATAAATGTAACTATATAAAATTTTAGGATGGGATACAGATATACCAGGGAACATGTTAGAAAATGATTATAGAATTTTAAAATAATATATAAGATGTTGGTAGAAAGGACATTAATGTTATTTTGACATTTGGGATATAACTATATAAACATAATAAGATGGTTACTTTTAAGAAATAAAGAAAAATGATAAAGGTTATACCAAATAAAGTGTTAAAGATTTAGATGGAATGAATATGAATATTTTAGAAAAAAAGATGTCAAATTATTTTAGTATTGGAGTTGACGCTAGAATCGGATATGGATTTGATAAAAATAGAACTACTAATAGACATTTAAATAAAATTTGTTATTGTTTATAAGGAATATAAAAAATGTTTTTAAAAAATCCAAGATTAAATTAAGTTGTAGAATTTGTTGAACATTTTGTAATTATTCTATCTAAATCTATTAGAGTCATAAAGAATAAAAAACTTTATTTAAAACTATTAATTGTTAAGAAAAGAATGCTTTAACTGTTCCAGGAAATCCTGTTACACTTGTATGTTTGAATATTAATTCTTATGCTGGTGGTATTACAGATATTTGGAAAAACGGTAAAACACCATAAGAATTTTAAGAAAAGAATAAATTATACTCTGAAAAAACATCATTCTCTGATGGATTATTAGAATTTATTTCATTTGATTCTATTGCTGGAATTGGATCTGAAAGGTTAAATCTAATTTATTAATATTAAATAGAGTATTAGCTGGTAATGCAACTAGATTAGCTTAAACTAATGGACCTTTATATATTAAATTTTAAGAATCAGATAATAACAATTCTGTAGTTAGTTATATCTAAATTGATGGACAATATTTTTCTATTATTAATCCTTTGAGTGTAGAAATATAACCTTGTCGATAATTACCTTAAGGAAAAATAAGAATATTATTAAAAGATTGAAGAAATAAACAATATTTTTTAATCATCCTATTAAAATCATTATTTTGTTAAATGCACTAACAACATAAGATCATAATTTGATATTGAAAGTATTCCCTGCTTTTATAGATTCTTTATCTTTTTTAAAATTAATCTAAACATTTCATTTTACTATAATCTAAATTTACACTAGATGTGGACTCTTAGAAATCTTCCTTATTTAACTAAATCCTGTATTATTTCTTCTCTAAAACATTTTTTCAAGATTTTTTATTGTAATCTCTTTATCTTACATTTCTTATTAATATTCCAATACTTCATGTGAATATTCATTTAAACTATCATCATAATTATCATTTGAATAATTAAAAAATAATATTTTGTTCTATTAAATTTATTAAGATTTTTCTTATTCTAAAAGTTTTTCACACATTTTGAATCTCAACAATCAATAATCAATAATTAATATATTCAGAATTCAAAGAATTCTTTTTTCATGAGCAAGAAGTCCTCCAATAAATTTAATTAAGATTTGATATCATTTAAAATCTTTTATTCCTTCCATCTAAATAAAATATTAAATTCAAATATTTACTATTTTATTTTTCATTCATTCTTTATTCACAAATATTAGATAAGATTTTATTAATACTTAAGGAAACACCATAATTAAGAATAGGTATTTCCATTTGATAAATTTTTATAAGTCATCGATTAATTTAAATTGAAATAAAGGTGATCCCAATTATTAATTGTTTGGATGGATTCGAACTGTAGCACAATTTTTGCATTTTCCAAGATGTTTACTTTTTGAGTTGATAATATAAATTATGTATTTTGAAAATAATAATAGATATACAAAGACAAAATATTGTTATTATTTTGAAGCATGATTAATCTAAATTAGACGTAGATTATTTTATAATTCAATATAATTAACAATTATTTTAATCTTAAATTCAGAATTGTTTGGAATAAATAATAATAGTGGTATATTTAAGATAACAATGAAGAAGAAGATATTTTGATAAATATATTTATATTAATATAAAATAATAATATTGTTATAAAATTAAATTTAAAAATGAAATAAGAAGATAGTGAATCATTAACAGAGAGTTAAGTACTGTTATTTATGAATGAGAAGATGAGAGAGGAAGGAATGCTTGATAGAATAAAATTATAAGTTAGAAAAGAAATAGTTGATAAATTGATGCAAGAACCAAAATAGAAAAAATAAAAAAGATTATTTGATTTAAAAGTGGCAGATTGTTTTGTTATTAATTTTTTATAAAGTCAAAATTTCCTTTGCACAGCTGAAATATTTATATAAGAATGCGGAATAGATAGAATTGATATATTACAAACATAAGAATTACTTTAATTACATGGTTTAACAATAAGAGATTATGAATAGCATTTATTTCAATTATAATAAGGAACAATATCTGCATTAGAGATAATGAGAAGTGTAATAAAGAGAAAATATCATATTGAAAAGACAGATCATTCTTGTTAAACAGATGAAAGGGAAGAAACTTATGAATAAAAGATGAGAAATTTAGAAACAGGATTTCTTAAGAAAATTAATTATTCTAGATTACATGATATGTAAACAATTGAAGAGAGGGTATTTTTATATATTTTATATTTTATTAGATGAATAATTTAAGAAAAGATATAGAATCAAAATATTAAGCAAAATTAGAATCAGAAATAATACGTTTAAAAGAACATGAAATGGAAATGATTAGATAAGAAGAAAGAATTCGATATGAAAAAATGTTAAAATAAATGAAATCAGGTGCAGATGAAGAATATTTAGAAAAATTATAAGAACTTAAAAAAAAAGAAGAAGAAGCTTTAATAAGAATTAATGCAAAATTAAAGGCAATAGAATAAGATAAATTTGAAAAGTAATAAGAAATATAAAGGTTTATAATAATAATATTTTAATTTAGGTAATTACATGAATTAGAATAAGAGAAAATTAAATATCATAGACATAAATGTTTAGATTCAGATGTTGTCAAATAAGAATTAGCTGAAATGGAAGCAATTAAAATGGATCTTAGAAAAGCTATTGATGAATATAAAAAAAGTAAAGAATCTTTAGATTAATAAAATATTAAATAAGCAGAAATGTTAAATGAATATTGGAAAGAAAAGATTGCTAAAGAAAGAGAAGCTAAAAAAGAAGAAGGAATTGATGATGATACAGATTGGGTTAAATATTAAAAGGATAATTGTTCTAGACTTTAAAAATAAAGAGAATATTTACTAAGTGAAAATGAATCATTAAGATAAGAAATTAATGAACTTAATTATAAAATTTAAGAAATTCAAAAAGAATTAGATAAATGCAGAAATGAATTAATGTAAGCAAAAGATGAAAGAGATATAGAACATAATTATTGTTTACGTTTAGAAGGTTAAATTAGAATTATTACCTAAATTAATGAAAGAAACAGCAAAATATGAAGCATTGTTTATATTTACATTTATTTCATTTACTATATATACTTTCATTCAAGCTCAGAAAAATACATTTATAAAAACTTTTAATTTACTAAAAAATATTATAAAATATTTAATTAAAATTAATTGAATTATCATAATTCTAAACTTATCAATTAAATTTTAATTCATTTCTACATAAATGATTAATTCTTTTCTGAATCCTAATAAATTATCCTAATTAATATATAATTTTTTATATTAAATTTAAATTGTTAATTTTGGTCACATATAAAATTTAGAAATACTAAAATTAACCAGGATTCAATAGATTTTTCATAAATCATATAATGAATCGAAAAATACTCTAAGCATGAAAAAATAACAAATAAAATTTTGCCTAAATATATACCTAATGATTGTAAATTCCAAGATTAAGTTGAATCCATTGATTAATTATTATTTTTAATAAAAACTTAATATCTTCCTAATGCATCCATTTACATAATATCCTCAATTCTTCTAATGTATTGAATCATTCTATTGTATTAGACTCTCATCCTTTTCATTATACTTAGCCTCAAATGCAGTAATTTAATACTTATCAACATTAACTCTGCATAAATAATTAACTATGGTTAAATTACTAGAGAGCTCAATAAAGCAACATTATTTTTGAAGGTTCTAATCTAAATTCTTCAATGATCAAGCAGGAAAACTTTATTAAACAAGAATAATGCGTCTTAAAATAGTCTGACTTTAAACCAGTATAAATCATAACAAACCATGAAAATAGTAAATCTGTCCAACCTTCAGAAAAAAAACTAAATAATAAACAAAACAAGAACAAACGCAAAGGGAAAAAGTCAACTAAAAGAAAATTATACAACATAGGCATATTTTTTAATTTAATTTTATAGGTCATTGGACAACTAAGGAGCATAATTTATATTTGTGTTTTATAGAAATGAATAAAGACATCATGTTAAATTCAGATCTCAAAAAATAGAACAAAATATTTAAACAAATGTCTAATTTTATTAAGACTAGATCACCAAGTTAATGTCGATCTCATCATCAAAAGTTTGATCCTAAAGATTCAACTTCAATTAATACTTCTAATCTTATTGATTGTTAAGATGTTGGGAACTAAGAATGATATTTTATATAATAAACAATTAATTTGTTTATTTTTTAAAATATAAAATTTAATGATATAAAGATGATTCTTTATAGATTCTTCTATAAATTTCATTTTCTAAACATTATTTATAATATATATCTAAAAAAATGATATGTAAAATGATACTCTATTTTATAATTTTATATATTAATAAAAAAATATTTAAATTTTGTAAAATAATTTATAATGACAGACAGCTTAAATTCAAGTGGATAATTTTATAATTTTATTGGAACAGCTGGTACAGCAGATTTTATGCCAGGATCAGGATAGGAACAATAGTTAATATAATAATAATAAATTAGATTAAGTTTTGGGAGAAATTATATAGGATATAATGATTAATAAGCAGGAAGTTGTTAGAATATATTCCATTAATCATAATAAATAGATTTAGAAATAAAAAATAGTCTAGATTAGTTTTTTGAAATGAAAATAGAAGATGTTAGATTAGAAAATATATTAATTTAAGAAGAATCTTAAAGTCAATAAAAATAAAAGTAATCTGTACATTCAGATTTAAATAGTAGATCTCAATATTCCGGAGATCAAGATTTTCGATTAGGTTATAATGATTTCTATTATATTTAGAATCAGCAGAATAAATTAATAGTAAATTTAAACCTGAAGTTAAAATGCTTATCCCATAAAATTAGGGTAAGAGTATATATCGTGATAAAATTGATTCATTATTAGAAAAACGAACATCAAATAATAATTCAGTATCACCTTCTATTACTCCAAAATCTTCTAAAAGTTAATAAAAGTTAGAGAGAAAAAGATCATAAAATATTTAGAATGAAAACTCAAATGATATGACAGATCCAACATAATTGAAATTAGCAAAAAATAGAGAATCTGCAAAGAACTCAAGAGAGAGAAAAAAAATATATCAATAATTGCTTGAAAAATAAGTGTAAGAATTATAATTAGAAAATGAAAAATTAAAAGATATATGTAAAAATTAAGTTTAATCAATGGAAATAGTAAATAAAAAGACTTAAAAAGTATATAATTGAATTTAATACTAGTTTTAATTATTTTTAGAATAATAGTAATAATTATTTGAGAAATTAGAATTATGCATAATAAAGAAAGCTAGTTTTGATGAGATTGGAATTATAATGGATGCATTAAGATTTAGAATATAATCAAATTCATAAGAAAGAAATGATACTGTTAGAGTATATTTTGATAGTATGGCAGAAATAATGTTACCAATGTAATCAAAATATTTAATATATGCATGTTAAAATTCAAAAGATATGTTTGCAAATAATAAATAGTATGTATTTATGTTATAATATTTTATAGAGACTATAGTGAATGGTTGAAAGAAAGTTTTGAAAGTACAAATGTAAAATTTGAGAATTTAACAAAACTCAAAAAGTTTTAGACCAAGGTTTAAGAATTAAAATAAAGTATTTCTAAGTAATAATAATAAAATTAATATAAAGTTGTTTAGATAAAATAAAAAATGAAATAAAATAGATTTAAGATTAAGCTTCTAAATTAGATTTAGTTTGGGATAATTTGAAATAAATATTGAATCCATTATAATTAGGCACATTAATGTGTTCACTCTATCATGTAATAGAGTTGACGATAATATATAGAATCTATATAGAAATGAGTTATAGACAAATACATTGTTTGCTTAATTAAAAAATTCTTAGACTGAAGAAGAGGATGATTTTTAATTTAAAATAGAAGAGGAAATAAACTATGAAACTAATAAAATGGTTAAAAGGTGTTGAGAATTATAAAACTTATATAATTAAATTATTATATTGTTTCAGTGAACATTAGAGAATGGCTGATTAAAAAATTGTTTCTGTCTTCGATTTTGGAAAAATAAGAAATAAATTTTGGTAACCATGTGATAAATCTGTGTTAGATGTACATATAATGAATAATATTTATATAAGTCTTAATCTTATTTAGTTGAGTAAGAATTTTAAACAGCAGGAAAACTTATGGTCAAACAAGTATTCGTTGTACTTGGATTAGAATATATTTATAAAGTGACCACAAATAAATTAAAATGTGCTCCTCTTGCTACTATGCATTTAAGTTTTATTGATCCTGGTGCTGATCATATGGTTTAATTGAATTCTGATGAACAATAATTTGGATTCAAATTAACCTATCAAACAAAAACTTTAGATATCTTTCTATCTGACAAATTGTTATATGATCAATGGAAATAACATTTCAGAAGAGTTTGTTTGTTAGAAAATTTCCATGAGGCTTTTATGGTTTCAAAATTAATTGGAAAAGGAAGTTTTGCTAAAGTTTATTTAGCAACAAAAAAGGAGAATAATTAATAATTTGCTATCAAAGCATTTAGTAAATCCTTTATGTAATAATAACATAAGGGAATTGAAAGCTTATTAAATGAAATGCAAGTTATGAGAAAATTAAATCATCCAAATATAGTAAAGTTGCATGAAGTTCATGAAACTACTAATTCAGTTTATTTTGTTGTAGACATAATAACTGGAGGTGAATTGCTTTAAAGAGTTAGAGAAACAGGTATTTAATTCAGTAATTATTAGGTTTTCTACCAGCTGAAACACTCTAGAAGTTGGCTTATAATTTATTGTCAGCATTAAATCATTTGCATACATATAAAATTGCTCATAGAGACTTGAAACCTGAAAATTTATTACTTCGTTCTAATGAAAATAATTATGATATTATTTTGGCAGATTTTGGATTAGCAGCCTAACTTATAGATGATAATATCTTATTTAAAAGATGCGGAACACCAGGATTTGTAGCACCTGAAATCTTAGATTATATGGAAGGTCAATAATTTTATGATGAAAAATGTGATGTTTTTAGTGCAGGGGTTATACTATATCTCTTAATAGTAATTATTTTTATAAAATAAAGACTGGAGGTTAACCATTTACTGGGAAAGATTAAAAAGCAATTCTTAAGGCTAATAAAGATTGTCAAATTGATTTTGAAGATTCTCTTTTTAAATCTGCCCCAATTTAAATGCAAGATCTTATTAGATCTATGTTATAAAAGAAACCTTCTTATAGATTGAGTTCTAGTGAAGTACATAAATTTTTAATTCTAGTGTTTAAGACATCCTTATTTTAAAGAATTAGTTAAACAAGAATAAATAAAATAAGAAAAATATTAAAGTAATTTGGTAGACTATAATAATTAATTCAAAAATAATGTAAGAGCAGGTTCTATAGATCTAAGTTTGGAATAAAGAACAACAGCATTTACTGGAAATATGAATTCTATTGAATCAATATCTTGTGTTTCAAATGGATCATTTGCTAAAATTGAAATGAAAGCACCTTCTGTTGTTGGAGCATCTAAATTTAGCTAATATAGTTCTCGTTTGAATCGATTAGGTTCTAGAGATATTTCTGGTAGATTATATTATTCTATTTTTAGATATACCAACTACATAATTATAAAAGACTGAATCAAAGAAACACATAGATTTACATAGAATAGCAATCTAAAATTCTCATAGAAAATAGATTATTGATTAATTTGAAGATTAACCTGTGCATTAGGAAAATTCGGAAGTTTCTGATATGGTAAGATTATATAATTCTACCAGATAAATTCGAATTCCTGACAATTTATCTTAATTATCATAAACAAATAAATAAACATCTACTCCAACTAATAAAGGTAAATGAAGTCTTGAATGCTAATATATATCATTAAAATAAGAATATCATTATTGTTATTTTTATTAATATTATCCTAAATATTTTTGTATCACGTCTGTAAATAAGATTTGAATTCCTTCTCCAGTTTTTGCAGAGGTTTCATAAAATGAGAAATCATGTTAATTTGCATATTTTTAAGCATAATCTTTTTAAACAGATCTTTCTTCATTTAAATCACATTTATTTCCTGCTAGACCAATACTCAATTCTAAACTACTTTAAATTATTTCAAAAATACTTGTACATCTTTCAAATAGTTCTTATTCCCAATAATAAATCTATTCAAATGATTTTTAATTTGTTATGTTATATACTAATATTGCTGCATTTGCATCTCTATAACATAATTGTGCCAATGATCTATAACGTTCACCTCCAGCTGTATCCCATATATGTAGTTTTAATACTTAACCTTTAATTACAATTTACGCACTCTAATATGCTACACCCAAAGTTGTTTATTCTTTTTCTGATAACTATTTCTATATCATCAAATTACAGTGTCAAAACAAAATTTTTAAATCAAACTTGTTTTACCTACTCCACTATCTCCTAAAACTACTATTTTTATATTTTTCTATTCTTATTTCAATTATAATTGTTATTCCTTAATTTTAGGTTTATTATCCTCACAACACATTTTATTTTATTAATGTCATTTTTTGGAAAATATCCTACCAGCCCTAAAAAAAGGAGTAACAACTTTTCCACATTATAGGTGAGTTACCAAAAGATTACGCTGATTAAATACTTTAGAATGACATTACATTAATGATGAGTAAATATACCGACAGTATTGCATTAAATAATCTTATTTAATTATATATGGTACTTATAACTTTTTATATATATATAAGAAAGGAATTGAATATTATGAAGCATAAAAAGATAAACAAAGTGAATATTTTAAAAGTAAATTAAATTGGATAATGAGTCATCCTTCTATTATATCACCTAAAAAAAAAGAAGAAGAAACTATACCAAAATCATCTATAAAAAAACTAGATTTTAAAGTGCATACCATTATTGATACTTCATAACATTATGATCATAATATTCAATAATTTGAAATTCCTTAAGAAAAGTAAGTTGTTTAAAAAAATAACTTAATAACAATTTAAACTAATGATGTTAAAACAATGATTGATAATTTAAAAAAAGAAACAAATAAAATTAATGAAGTAATAAGTCAATTACACTAGATAATATAAAATGACCTCAATTCTCAAAAAACTAAAATTGCTAATAGAATTCATAAAAGAAGCAAAAGCTTTGTAAATAAAAATAAATTTGAATAAGAGGAATGCATAGAATGAATTTATTCATTCTCATTTTTATTGATTCTCTCATTCTTCATTTAATATACAATAAATAATTTTATTTATTTTATTAAAATCAATAAAAATGATAAATTTTATTAATAATATTATTATTCATTAAGTCAATAATATTTATTCATACTTTTTCAATTCCTAGGATCCTTAATATATCATTTGTTAAGAATTATTATTTAGTGATAAACCTTTAAATCATCTAAATAAATTCACTTATCTTAGGTAATTGTTCTGAAATCATCAAAGCTATATTAGCTTATTCAGATAAGATATTCACATATTTTTATAATTTTAATGTTTGATCATATAATTCTTCTGTATTTATTTTGGTCTTATCTCTTCTTAAGTTTTCTACAGTTGATTTTAAATTTGTATACAAAGCTTAAGCTTTAGATAACTTTTTTTCTGCTACTAATAGTTCTTTTAAACTTAAAAATAATTGTTTTACTCCAGTCAATATTAATTGAACTTCATTTAATTTTTGATCTAAAAAGATGATTTTATTTTGTATCATAGCTTACATGACAACAATTACTTTAGGAATCAACCTTTGAGCTCCTTTAAATTACCCTATAGGTTTATAAGTATCATCTGGATCTTATGATTCTAACATAATTATTTCTATCATTTTTGTTTTTAATAATTCATCCTTAGTTTTTAAGATTTGAGCTTAGTTATTATTCAATATATCTTATATCTGTACTCCTAATTGTATGTTATAATTATCATATTTTTAAGGTAGAATCATTCTCTTTAAAATTTTCTATGCCTTCTCATTTTAATGTTAAATGGCTTCACATCTCAATTATAAATTATCTAATTCAAATAATTTATCCAAAATTCGACTTTCAAATTGACCCAAAAAATTAAAATAGATATCTAAATTAATTTAGTAACTAATTTGATTAAATATTAATAATATCTTACCCACTTTACATTTTAGTCACATCATCTATCCATTAATAAACTATTATGCTTAAATGTGCACTAATATTATCTGCAAAATCAACATTAATCTCAGTTAAAAAATTTAATAATTTCTATAATTATTCATCATTTAACACATAATTATCTTACTCTTAACCTCCATGTATTTATAACAATTATATTTTATATTTTTTTAATTTATGATATAAAGCATTAGACACATCAATTAAATTCATATTTAATAATCCCATTAAATATCCATTAATACATACTTTCTATTAACAATATGATTTCCATCTTGTTTTTTGTTGATAATATTTCTCACTATGATGGATAATTGTATTTAATGTTTTAAATGATGGATAAGTTAGTAAAAGTATATCTCTTAATGATTTTAAATAATTTGTAAATTAATCTCTTGGAAAATCATCAAATTTTTCTATAGAAAATAACTAACAAGTTTCTTTTAAAATTGCCATTAATTTTTATTCGTTTTATTGCATTTATTAAATGAATTTTAATCTCTCTTTAAGTAATATCTCTACAATCTCCATTCCCAATTTAATTTTCTCAGTCTTTATTTTAATTGCATAATCTGCTGCTTATACTCTTTCATCTGTTTTTATTTTGTCTATGTCATGCCTATATTTTCATCCCACATCTATACTTATGCAATGTGATTTAATGAAATTTAGCAATTTTATCATATAAATCAGTTTCTGCTTTTTATCCAATCCCTGCATTATTACTCAATATTACTGAACCAGGATGAGAAGTAGGGGTTATTTAATTTTATGATTTATTCATTATTAAAATTATACAAAATATATATATATCAAAGCTTAATTTCTTTTTATCGCAACAGACAATGTTTACTTTATTATTCTTAATAATATCAATCACTTTTTTCATTCCATTAGACTTTAAATATATGATACATCATCGAAAGTTCATTATTAATTAAAACTATATAATACTATTTGATTAAAAACCTCCAATTTATTGTATTTTCTTTCTAAAACTTTACTAGTGCAAGATATATTGATTTCAATATCAAATTTTCCATTTTTTTTCTATTTCAATTATCACTGTATTTTTACCCTTAAAATTTCAAATATTTTCCGTTAACTTCTCAATAAAATATATCAATAATTGATACTCCCATTATTCCTTCAGCTTATTCTGATTATCCTATTTATTTTCCATTAACCATATATTTTAATTATTATTTTTGACATTTCCTTTCAATGATTTTTAGATACAGAAGAATGAATAGAAGTATTACCAATGATTCTAGATTTTNTAATTTATGATATAAAGCATTAGACACATCAATTAAATTCATATTTAATAATCCCATTAAATATCCATTAATACATACTTTCTATTAACAATATGATTTCCATCTTGTTTTTTGTTGATAATATTTCTCACTATGATGGATAATTGTATTTAATGTTTTAAATGATGGATAAGTTAGTAAAAGTATATCTCTTAATGATTTTAAATAATTTGTAAATTAATCTCTTGGAAAATCATCAAATTTTTCTATAGAAAATAACTAACAAGTTTCTTTTAAAATTGCCATTAATTTTTATTCGTTTTATTGCATTTATTAAATGAATTTTAATCTCTCTTTAAGTAATATCTCTACAATCTCCATTCCCAATTTAATTTTCTCAGTCTTTATTTTAATTGCATAATCTGCTGCTTATACTCTTTCATCTGTTTTTATTTTGTCTATGTCATGCCTATATTTTCATCCCACATCTATACTTATGCAATGTGATTTAATGAAATTTAGCAATTTTATCATATAAATCAGTTTCTGCTTTTTATCCAATCCCTGCATTATTACTCAATATTACTGAACCAGGATGAGAAGTAGGGGTTATTTAATTTTATGATTTATTCATTATTAAAATTATACAAAATATATATATATCAAAGCTTAATTTCTTTTTATCGCAACAGACAATGTTTACTTTATTATTCTTAATAATATCAATCACTTTTTTCATTCCATTAGACTTTAAATATATGATACATCATCGAAAGTTCATTATTAATTAAAACTATATAATACTATTTGATTAAAAACCTCCAATTTATTGTATTTTCTTTCTAAAACTTTACTAGTGCAAGATATATTGATTTCAATATCAAATTTTCCATTTTTTTTCTATTTCAATTATCACTGTATTTTTACCCTTAAAATTTCAAATATTTTCCGTTAACTTCTCAATAAAATATATCAATAATTGATACTCCCATTATTCCTTCAGCTTATTCTGATTATCCTATTTATTTTCCATTAACCATATATTTTAATTATTATTTTTGACATTTCCTTTCAATGATTTTTAGATACAGAAGAATGAATAGAAGTATTACCAATGATTCTAGATTTTATATTGTAATTTTTTTTTATTTTAAATTATTTTATTAAACAGGGAAAGTTTATCCTTTTTTATATTTCTTTACAACAAAAATTTAAATCTCCTTGTTTTGATTTATTCATGAAATAATATTTATTTTCATTTGACAATATAGCTTCATATTCTACTCTTCAAGAAAATGATTTTTTAAAAGTTAAGGATTTATTTATAAATAATTATTCCAACTAAATTAAGCAAATGTTATTTATAGTGAGAAATTTTTAATCCTAAAATACAAAATTTTAATTTTTTAGAATAAATTTAAAAAATTTAGTACGTAATAAATATACTCTTGTGTTTAATAGAATTTATTAATATATATCTTCATTTGATAAAAAATTTTTGATATGTATTATGATAATATATCCTTAAACCAATTAAAATGATGATATTTCAATATTGTGCTATATTTATATATATAAGTAATTTATGCCATATAATTTAATATGGTTCTAAACATCTTTTGATTTATTCTTAATTATGACAAACATAAATATAAGTTTTAGTAATCATTGAAGTAAAAATGCTTATAATACTTAATTGAATAATAAAAATAAAATATTAAAATTTCATATTTATTTAGAATCAGTCTCAATCATACGATGAAACTAATCGAAATTGAAATTCCATGCTTCTGCTATTTTAGCTATTTCTAATATTCTTGTATCATTAGTTGATTCTGCTGATTTGACTTGCACATTCATTGCAATATTATCCTATAAATTATACAATTAATTACTATAGCATATGCTAAGAATATATCCTTGACTGAAATATTATTAACTTCATCTGTAATTAACCTAATCTTAATTGTATTAAATAAGTTCTCCCACTCAGGATGATCTATTTTTAATCTAGAAATTACGATTAATTTATTCACTGAATATTGCCACCTAAGTCATAAATGAGAATGCTTCTTTGAAATTAGAAAACTTGACTTCTTTATAAAGTGAATTATCATCTTGCTAAAGATAATATAACGTTGATTACCAGTTTCCATGTTGCTCCTAACTAATGCATCTTTAATAATGTTTTAACATCATCAATTTTTAAGGCAGTTGGTTTTTCTGCTTTTAATATTGAAAAATCTTTCACCTTGAAAGATAATTTAGGAAAAGAAGATGTTATCTTTCCTGAACAAAATCTAAATAACTAAATCATATTCAATGATATATTTTATTTATCATATTTTCAATTTAAGACTCACAATAAATGCGTATTATTTATTAAATAAATATAGTTTAAATATATGAGAAAAAACAATTATATTCAATTTTCATTAATGTTTAAAAAATCTTTCTAAGCATTTAATGAATAAGTCTCTGTAAATTTATATGTTTCTTACATGTTGTTTTAAAACATTAATAATTAATCTCTACAAAAGTAATTCTTGATTAATAATAATATAGAGTGTTTTGAATTCTTAATATTCATTTTTATATGTTTTATTTAAAAAAATTAAATTTCTTATGTATCACAAGTATTGACAAAAAAACTTTGTAAGAATATATAAAAGTCCTAGAAAGTTGATAATATGAATTAGTATCAAATTTAAGATGCATTTTAGTCATTTCAGTTACCAAAATTTAGAAATTCAAAGTAAAATTGAAGAAGAAGAATTAAGTTACTATTTGCTCATAATTAAAAAACTGATAAGAAAAAGTGAGAAACTTAAGTAATGCTTAAATCAATTTCTTCAGATATAAGAAAATTGAAAATTTAAAATTATTAGATTTTAACAAGGAGTTTTAATTCTAAAATCTTCAATTAGTATTAGTGTATTTATATAAGAAGATAAAGAAATGAGGATATGATCCATGTGAAGTTTTCCATATAAATGTCTGTTCTTAAATTTAAAAACAAAGAAAATATATTTTAATAATGATCTAAAAATAAATATATTTAAAAACCGAAAAATAAGTAGATAAATCATATTTATTTTGTATTAAAAAGCATTATTTATAAAACTAATATATTATTATCTAAGTATAATGAGAGGGAAAACAGATATTTAAACAATTGAATCAAGCAAAGAAATACATTTTAGATAAACTACAATAACTAATTTATTACCAACTGTAGTTATAGATCATCATGAAGAATTCCACGACCCTCTTTAGCCTTCTCTCTAAATGATTGAAGAATCCCTAGATTCGATGCAATAAAAAGAAGTACCTAAATTGTATCCTTATTACCTAGGATAACGGAATTACTGGATTTCAAAATTATTCTTTTTTCATTTTACTAAATATTCTTTATAATTGAAGAAGCATGTTTTAGATAAAGGTTTAAAGATTAATGAATAACATTTACCTTAACTTTCTCCTATAGATGATTTATAATCATCAGTAGAGGCATCATTGAAGAAAATCAAATAATATAACCAAATTACTACTTGTTAATTAGTTAATGTAATTTTTTTTGGAGAATTGAAATGGATTACTTTTAAATGTATAGTCGCTTTTTTAATTGAATCTTTGTCAAAAAATAGCATCTCATTTATATTAAGCAATATTATAATATGTGTATCATCAAATTAAATAAAGGAAGCTCATTAATTTGCGATTGTTTTGGTGACTTTAAATTTATTTTGTGTATTAAGTAGACATCATGCTGCAAATTAATCAATAATATTTTCATCAAAAGCAAGACTGACTTTAATAAATTTAGTTTATATTAAATTGATTGAGTTAAATTAATATTCATTTAAATAAGCAAATATTGGTAAAATATTAAATATCTTATCAGGAGATATTAATACTTTAGAATAAGTTTTGAGTATGATATTTCCAAGTAGTGTTGTCATTGTTTCATTATCATTAGCTTGTTATATTTTATGGGATCGATTTAATGGTTTTATTGGTATTTTAGTTGTAGCAATTATATTTATTGCCTATCCAATTTAAATATTTTTACAATCTTTTAATTCTCAAACTCTTAAACTATAAAAATAGCATTAGGATAAAAGATTTAAAATAACAAATGAATTAGTTGAGGGAATTCGATTGATTAAAATGTATGCTTGGGAGTAAGCGTTTAGAAAAATGATCTTAACAGCAAGAGGAGAAGAATTTAAATGTCTATTGAAAGTAGTTCTCAGATCAGGAATCGATAGATTATTTACATTAATATCTTAAATATGGGCCAGCCTTTTATTTTTTATAATTTTACATTATGGAGGTTATAGAAGTGAAATAAAGGTTGCTGAAATGATTTCAACTTTGTAGCTATTATCATTTCTTAAATTAAATTGTGTATATATGGTTTCTTATGGAATCTAATCATTTATACAGATTAAAGTATCATTTGAAAGAATCGCAAACATTTTGAATTTGTAAAATTTTGAGATGAAATAATTAAATACAAATAAAAAATAGAATCATGAAAACCAAAAAGATTAAAATGTTTCTAGAATTTAATTCAGTAACTTTTCAGCCTTTTGGACCCATTCTGTTTCAAAGGAAGAAAAAGCTGTGTTGAAAAATTTAAATTTGTAAATAAATAAGGGAGAGATATGGGCATTGATTGGAAAAGTTGGATCAGGAAAATCAACATTTTTGCATTCTTTATTATCAGAAATTCCTGCTTATGAAGGATATCTACTTTTTGATGGTTAAGATCCAAAAGTAAGTAATCTAAGTATTGCTTATGTTGAATAAGAACCTTATATATTTCCAGATACAATCAGAAGAAATATTTTATTTGGAAGACCATATGATAAGTCTTTGTATTAGAAAGTGACTTAAGCAACAGAGTTGGATGTAGATTTTTCTTTGATGAAATTTTCAGACCAAACAGAAATTGGAGAAAGAGGTATAACACTTTCAGGTGGACAGAAAGCAAGAATATCTCTTGCAAGAGCTCTTTATTCATTAGCTGATATATATTTATTTGATGATCCATTATCTGCTGTTGATGCTCATGTGGCAGAAATATTATTTTAGATAGCAATAAAATAATTTATATTGAATGAATAACCTTAAATTAATCCAAATAAAAAAATACCTACAGTTATTATTGCAACTCATTAGATTCAATATGCTGTTAAATGTGATAAGATAGCAATCTTAAATTAAGGTGAAATTATTGCTTAAGGATCTTATGATCAAGTAAAATAATCACTTTATATGATTAATGAAGGATTAGCATAATAATTGACTAGCCAATAAAATGATAATAAAAATTAAGAAGAAATAAAATTATCAACAAGAAGACGAAATGGTGTTAGATTAACTTAAATTCAAAATCTTACTATCTAAGAGACTAATTAAAAGGTTGTTTAACTTTCAACTTATGTTAGATATTTTAAATATTGGAAATGCTATGAACTTTTTTTAATATTAGCATTAGAAGCAGGATCTGAAATAATAATCATTTTCTACTAAAGAGTTATTTCATTATTTCAGCAATATTAAATCTAAAATGAAATTAATTTTGCCTTCACTCTATTAGGTATTCTGACATTAGGTTTATTGTTTTGTAATTTCTTAAAGTATCTTATTAATAATTTGTAAGTTCAAAAAACTACTTAAAATATTCATAAGTAAATGCTTGAATCCATAATTTTAGCTCCAATCTCTTACTTTGACATCAATCCTTCAGGTAGGATTATCAATCGATTTTCAAATGATTTATCTTTATGTGATGCTTAAACTAACCAAGTTTGTTTAGATATTTTAGAATTGATTGGAAATTTTCTATTTGCTTTAGTAACCTTAGCAATTCTACAACCATTCTTTTTAATCATGATTATTGGCTTATTGTTAATTGATCTCTACTTATATAGTTTCTACAATAAAATTATAAGTTAATTGAAAGAAAATGAATTAATATAAAGAAGCCCTTTATTTGATTTCATTAAAAAAACTTTAGGTGGGGCAATTTAAGTTAGAGTTTATGATTAACGAAATTAGTTTACTAAATTATTTTTTGATCTTTCAAATAAATGCAATCTAAATTCATTAACTTATTATTATCAAACTAGATGTTTTGGATTTAATATAGATATGATAGGTTTTTTGGCATAAACAGTTGGGCTCTTTATATTTTTGAATTTGAATAATGATGATATTTCTATATTCTCTTAAGGATTATTATTATTAGCGACATATAATGATGGATTATAATTAGGCTTAAGGTAGATAATTAATTTTGCTACACAAATGAATTCATACAATAGAATGTTTGAAATTATTGATATCTCTCCTGAAGCACCTCATTTTAAATAAGATGATGAAAACTTTCATAAATTCCCTTAAAATGGTGATATTGTTTTTTCAAATGTGTATATGAGATATAGAGCGAATTCAGATTTAATTCTAAAAGGCATTTCATTTAAAATAAAAAGTGGATAGAAAATTGGCTGTGTCGGTAGAACAGGTGCAGGAAAAAGTTCAATCTTATAAGCACTATTTAGAATTTCAGAAATTGAAGATGATGAAGATTCTTCAATTTCAATTTCCGGTGTTGATATTAGGATCTTAGGATTACAAAAATTAAGAAGTAATATTGGGATTATTCCATAATGTCCTTTCTTATTCACAGGCACCATAAAAAGTAACCTAGATCCTTTTGAAGAAACCAATGAAGAAAATATTTGGAAAGCATTACAAGTTACTGGTCTTATTGAACATATTAAATAATTTCCAAATGGAATTTTAACTGATATTTCAGATGTTAATTCTGTTTTTTCAGTTGGATAAAAATAATTAATCTGTTTGACACGTGTTCTTTTATCCAAAAAGAAGATTGTTGTTTTGGATGAAGCAACTGCAAATCTGGATTTAAAAACTGATGATTTTATACAAGAAACATTAAAAAAATAACTTAAAGATTGCACAATAATTACAATAGCTCATAGATTAAATACTATTGCAGATTATGATAAAGTTATGGTCATTCATGATGGAATTGTAATCGAATATGATAAACCATACAAACTTTTAGCAAAATCATCTAATTCAACTTATATCGATAAAGATTCAGAATTTTCAAGGCTTGTTAAGAATACTGGTAAATAGAATGGCTAAGCTATTTTTGACATGGCTAAAAAATAATGAATCAAGTATAATATTGATTTTTTTATTTAATTAAATATATATGTTATAATTTTTTTATTTAATTATTTATTGTTTTTATAATGTTGCTATAGGCATATCAACTCTAAATTAGCTAAAGCAATTAAATTGCTGCTGGTGAAAAAAAAATTGATGAATATTTATTATGATGATTTTATTAATAATCAATTCTTCTTTTTTTAGTTGTTAGACATTTTTATCCAAAAAATAACTTCCTTTATATTTCAATAATAATCTAAAATCTATTCCTTCATTATTTAAAAATTATCCGTTAAGAATCATAGCTCCTTTTGATTACAATAAAGGTGATTGAGATATAAGGAGTATATTAATATTCAAGGGACCTATAAAAATAGAATAATAAAAAATACTTTGTACAAAAGAAGAGTTTAAATTTAATGGAATTTTAAATTGTGCTAAAATATCTCTGTACTTTTTATCAAAAGGTTAAATTTATTCTCCACTCTTAATATCCCATAAACAAATAGATTAATCGCCACTATAAGATGCTAATATTGTTCCATCAGGCGAAAAGCATACTGATGAAATAAATTAACTCCAACCATCCAGTTCAACTTTGAATTATTAAGTCTCAGCATTCCATAAACGAATCGAATTATCTCTACTTCCTGATGCTAATGTGGTTCCATTAGGCTAAAAGCATATTGATTACACTAAAGAATTATGACCAGCCAATTAAGCTTTTTATAATCCTGTCCCAACATCCCATAAACAAATTAAATAATTATTTTTACCAATAGTAAATTAATTTGTACTACCAATTCCAGATGGTTAAATTAATCCATCTGCTGAGAAGCATGCTTTTTATTATTATGTCTCAACATCCCATAAATAAATTGAATCTCTCCCGAGATGATTTGTGCTACCAGATGCTAATTTTGTTCCATCAGGTGAGAAGCATACTGATAGGGCGGATTCACTATGACCATCCATTTTAGCTTTTTATTATCCATTCTAAGCATCCCATAAAAGGATAAATTTCTCATTACTACATGATGCTAATGTGGTTCCATCTGGTGAGAAACATACTGAAATAACAGATTTACTATGACCATCCATTTTAGCTATTAATTATCCTGTCTAAGCATTCCATAAACGGATAGATTTATCACTACTATCCGATGCTAATGTGGTTGCATCTGGTGAGAAACATACTGATAGAACAGATTCACTATGACCATACATTTTAGCTTTTTATTATCCTGTCTTAGCATCCCATAAACGGATAGATTTATCACTACTATCCGATGCTAATGTGGTTGCATCTGGTGAGAAACATACTGATAGAACAGATTCACAATGACCATCTATTTTCACTTTTAATTATCCTGTCTTAGCATCCCATAAACGGATAGATTTATCACTACTACCAGATGCTAATGTTATTCCATCTTTTGAGAAGCACACTGAGTTGACATAATCACTATGACTATCCAATTTGCCCTTTTATTAGCTTATTTTAACATCACATAGACGGTTATAAGATATTCCACTACAAGTTGCTATAGTAGAACTATCTGGCGAAAAGCATAATGAATAGATCTAATGACCTTTCAATTTGGTTTATTTTTCTACAACCTCAACTTGCCATAAACAGACAGAATTATTTCCATTACCTTATGCTAGTGTAGTTCCATTTGGTGAGAAACATAACGAGTGCACATAATCACTATGACCATCCATTATAGCCTTTTTTTCTCCTGTCTTCGCATCCCATAAAAGGATAGATCGATCACTACTACCAGATGCTAATGTAGTTCCATCAGGTGAAAAACATAACGACAGCACAAACGCGCTATGACCATTCAACTTGGCTTTTTTTTTCCTTGTTACAACATTCCATAAACTGATAGTCTTATCCCTGCTTCCAGATGCTAATGTAATGCCATCTGGCGAGAAGCATAAAGATGAGACAGAATTACAATGACCATCAAATTTGATTTTTTATGATCCTGTCTTAGAATCCCATAAACGAATAGAATTATCACTACTACCTGTTGCGAATGTAATGCCATCTGGTGAGAAGCATAATGATAGGACAAATGCCTTATAACTAATCCTTTTTGCTGTCTACATACTTTTAGCATCCCAAAAACAGATGGACTTATCAATGTTGCTAATTGCTAAAATAGTTCCATCTGGTGAGAAACACAATGATAACACCGATACACCCATTTTGACTTTTTTTTTTTCCTGTCTTAACATCCCATAAACAGATAGATTTATCAATACTACTAGATGCTAATGTATTTCCATCTGGTGAGAAGGATATTGATGATACAGAACCTATATGACCATTGAATTTTGTTTTTTATTATCCTGTCTTGGCATCCCATAAAAGAATAGAGTTGTCTTCACAACCAAATGCTAAGGTGGTTCCATCTGGTGAGAAACATACTGACTTTCCACTTTTACCTTCATTATCTAATTGATTCATTTCATTAATTTTTATGTTTGTCCACTTACAATTCAATAATAGAGCTCCATTTAAGTTTGCTCCACTTATGTCTATATTTTCAAATTCTGATCCACTCAAATTACATTTCACAAAATTTCCACCAAATAAAGATGTATTTTTAATTCTGATATTCTCAAAGCATTAGTTTTTCAGATCTACTTTCATTTTTACTAATAAATTAAGTGAGTTCGATCCACTTATTATGAATTGGTTATCCATTGTTGTTATAAGAACTAAAAATTTAAGAAATTCAACGATATTCTCATTCCCTGTAATTCTCTTTATAAGATTCGCTATCTCTTTTTCATATATTTCTGTACTATAGTCTTGTTTATTAAAGGGATGATCTTTAATATTTCTACAAACATTAGTAACCTAGTTAATTATCTTTTTAACAACACTAATAGTCAATTTCGAATTGCCAAATGATTCATAAATCTTGAGATTAAATGGTCTTGAAAGAAATTTTAAGAGTTTGAAATAGAAACAAAAAGTTATAAAAGAAGGAAAAAATGAATAATATAACATTTAAAATCAGAAAGGGCTTAATGTTAGAGTAGATTATTTAAAAGTGAATCTGTAGAGGGAGGAGCAATTATTTTATGAGAAAAATCCAGATTAATAAGATTCTTATAAAGAAGAATTTTAGGAACAAATAAGTTATTTATTTTGCAAGTCTAATGAAAAGATAAAAAGTTAAAGATCATCCGAAATTTTGATTAGGCTTTAAAGTAATAAAAATGAAAAGTATTTTTTAAAAAACGATAGATTTAATTTTTCTCGCTAGCCTATTGTTTTAAATTTAGCATTGAGTAGATTAGAATAAAATATTTAGTATCAATTTGAAAGTTGCAATTAAGTTAGTTGAATGAGTTCATTTGAGATTTACTCTCTTATTGATTATCAGTTCTATCTCTTAAGCAAATTTGTAGGTATAGATGATTCATCAAAGTTGAAGTACTGACAATTTTTTTAAGGGTTGATATGCACCTCTATCATTCAGAAAAGGATATGGGGATATTTGATGAAAATTTTAATAGTGAGGAATTGACATTTATATTTTTATACTTATACTTAAATTATTTTTTACGCTATATGTGCAATTTTTACGCATTCTAGACATTATTATAGCTGTGTGTTTATATTTGAGTGTTTTGCTTGAATAAGTAATTTAAAAATACAAATAATTACAGCTTGCTCTAAAGTCTGATAAAAGCAGAAAAATTATTAAATACTATTATTCTAGTAAAAATGAAAGTTTTAATTTTATTTTCTCTTTTACAAACATTAGTAAATTTTCAAAAGGAGGATGGAAGAAACTAAAATGTAATATAATAATAGTAAACTCCCTCATAATTAATGAGGTTTAAGGAGTAGTTTGAAACAAGTATCAACTCTAAGAATAAAATAAATTAAAGGAAATTTTTGCTAAATAAATAAAATTGAAATAGAAAAGTTAAATGGTTGTCTACAATGTAGTTATAGTAGAAATTGATTAAGATTAGATCTAATAATATAATGTAATAATATATTCAGTGTTGATTAAGTAATTTAGTCCATGTAATAGATAAGATCATATTACAAAATGTGAATAAATAAATTGATAATTGGCTTAATTTTCTGAAAGTGAGATGAATAAGAACAATAATTATACAAAACCAAACCAAGTTCTTTGAGATTGGAATTTAGAAAGCAGGATAAAGCAGATAATCATGCAAATGGAAAATTAGAAGAAGTATAAGTTTTATTTAATTTTTATTTGATTTTAATCCAGATAGTAGGGATATGAATTTGATTATGTATTGTAAGTTGAAACTTATATTGCATCTAGAACAAATTACAACATTATAATAGAGAAGGATCATATCAAATATATGATGATAAATATATATAAATTAATATAAGATAATTTTAACAGAAAGCTATTCAGCATTCATCAAAAATATAATTTCAAAATTATAAATTTTTGTAATATAAAAGTGTATTAATCTATCACTGTCTTCTTTATTAAACTTTAGAGAAAGCTTATTCAAACTTATTTTGATATATTTGGTAACTATTCCAAATTTGAAACTGAGGCTCCAGAGTTACAACTCTAAGGGTTAAATTAGATAGGTATATTATTAAATAATTTTGGAACAACATGAACAAATGCAAATTTTTTAATACAATAGTAGCAAAAACAATTAAAGCTCCTCCTGCAATCGTTCCTATAGCAACAGCAATTGTATGTTAAAAGCCATTAGAATTAGAAATAATAAGACAAGTCTGACCAGATTATAATTTGAATCCAGTTTCACAGGTTACACAAGTATCAGAAGCATCACAAACTTTACAGTTGTCAATACAATCTAAGATAGTTAAAATTTTTTATTACTAACACAAATTTGATCTTGTTTACTATAATATTGCCCTGTAAGTTGGCAATCAGATCCTCCAAGGTCTACCTTGGTATTCTAACACTAAGAGCAAATAGATGGACATAATTAACATTCAGATTATGATAATGTTTAATGTTTAATGAGAAATAATAATCAATCTTGAGAGTTCCTTATCCTTTTTTTCCATTCTAAGCAAACAGAATTTAAACATGATGTACAATTAGAATTACCAGGTACATATTTAATTTTAAGAATAATAACTTGAATCACATTTTGAGCATCCTCCGTTATAACATTATTAACAATGTGGTTCACAAGAATTATAAATATAATCATTTTTATAATTAGTATATCCATCTTAAATGCATGTTATACATTTACTAGCAGATTCATAAATGAAATATTTAGAATTACATTATATCCAGTTAGTACTATCAAGATAATATCCATCAAGACAAGATGTGCATTATGTTGCACTTGTACATAATAAACAGGGACATGATAAACATTATTTATCGTTTGATATGGTGAACATTATGTTGAATTTGGACTGTTACACATGTTGAATTGCAATTATCAACAGGATTGAAATATTAATTACTTAAACAACTTGTACAAATAATAGGTGATGTATAGCAAGCAACACATGAAACATTACATTCTTTGCATTTATTTGATGTTATTGCATCCAAATCATAATATTAATGGTTTGAGCAAGTACATGTTGTGCATAGTGTACACATTTCAGGTATGTTAAAATGTATCCATAATCACAAGCTAAACATTCTCCAGATGATATTTAATAATTTCTACAATTTCGTGTTCTACATTTAGGACATACTTTATTGATAGCAAGATAATTTCCACTAATACATGAAGTACCTGAATCTTCTAACATGTTTTACAAGAAGTCTTGTATTATAAACAATCACTTGGACTTTAAAAATATCCAGTATTGCATTCATCAAATTTAATAAAGAAGGATTATTTTGTACTTGAATCTTTACATTTGATTGGACATTTTGTACATCAATTCCATCTAAAAAATACCCAGTTTTCAGAGGAACAATTTGTGCATATATTATTAAATGTACAAATTAAACAATTATTTGAACAAAGTTATTTGCATTATTAACATGTGTATCTAAATAATATCCATCCTAACATTTTAAGCATTAATTTAATTCTTAACCATAACAAGTTAAGCAAGTGCTATTACATTGTAAACATTAATCTGTTATTTTAACTTTAACAAAACCATTATCACATGTATAAGTTTATTATTCTCATTGATTAATTGCAAATATCCAGCTTTAAAAACTAAACTTTTAAGTTGCATTACGTTCTTTACATTCTAAAATAGTACATTAATTGCAAATATTATATAGGACAAGGTATATAATTTTTATTTCCATCTAGATAATATCCACTTGCACATAAATCATATATATTGGCATTTAACATTATTAACAATCAGAATTTCATTTTATACAAATAGCATATATCTTTCGATTTACAAATAACACATGAACATGTGCATTAAAAACATTATCAGCTTTCTTAATAATAATCTTGATCACAATCTATTTAGGAATTATTACAAGAGATAGTTGATCCAACAGGACAAGTTATACATATACCATTTGCATATGTTAAACAATTTTAGCTTTTACATGGTTGATAACATTGGGATTGATCTGATGTTTTATATTAGCATAAGCAATTTCCATTATTATTTACTCTATTTAATTTATAGCTTTTGCTTTATTCATAATTCTGATAAAAATAACAATCATCACAGTTTTTAACATCAATTAATTAAATTCATCAAACCATCCATCAAAGCTTTTTCACATTCCGTATCACTTAAAAAAGTAGATTTTGTGTATCCAATATAAAAAAAATTGCATTTCATTACTTGTCTAACATACGCTTGCATAATAATATTAATTAGAGAAAATTCATCTGAAAATTTTATATATTACTTTAATTAAAAACTAATTTTCTAATGACTTAAATGAAGCATATTGAATAGAATGTGGAAATGGAATAATTGAAGAATATGAATAGTGTGATGATTATTGTAATTGTGAAATTTCTTGTTATCCCAATTGCAAAATATTTATCAATTTTTGTGTTAAACGTGACATTGGATGGATGTTAACAAATATAGAATGTGAATCTATCTGTGGAAATTCTCTAATTGTAGCTAATGAGCAATGTGACGATCGTAATATTGATAATTATTATGGTTGCTACTAGTGTAAATATTCATGTACTTGGAATTGTTAAATTTGTGAGAAAAGTGAATGCTTAGAATGTAATTAGGATTATTTAATGGATGAAAATAAATAATGCAAAGTAAACTTGGCTAATTTAAATTTGGTGAAAATAAGGATTGTGCTTGTACCGTTTTTCTTGAACCTATCACTAACATTATTGTTAACAACATTGTAAATCATATTAATTTCAAAATGCTTAGAATTTGAAGATGAGTATTATGCTAATGCGTAATTGAAAAAACAACACAATTTTAAAGCTAAAATTATATATGCAGTAGTGATTGATTATTTTGAGAGAAAGACATTTGTTATTTATGTTAAGAAGGAAACAATTTATTTAATAATTAATGCATTGTAAATAAAATCGGATCTAAATGTGTAAATAGGGATATCTTTTGCGTTCTGATTATAATTGCTTTGATTGTAAATTAGAATGCTAACCCTATTGTATAGGAGAATAAATTTATCTATCTTATTCCTGATTATCAATCAATTATGTAAAAATATTTGAATATGTAAAGATTAAAAATTTTGTCACAATCAAATAGTATTTTTAGCCCATGGTTATTATTAATTTAATACTTATATTTTTTATAATCTTTTCCAATTTTAATCTTCTTATAAATTTAAATTATTAGATTGTTAATTAATCGTGTAATGAAATTAAATTCTAGACCTAGAATTACTTCAAATTTAACATAAACAATTTTTATATCTCAAAGGCAAGATGAAAATTAAATTAAGCATTCACCAAAACAAATGGTCCTCCAAATATTCTTTTATTGTTAAAATATTAAAAGTAAAATAGTCTCCTTTCTTAAAATTATATTAATTATTTGTACTGTTAACTAATATAATTCATTCATTTATTCTTTATTTACTAGTTGAAAAAATCATAAAATTCTTTCACTAAAAATATTTCCTATTAATCTCTCTAAATTTAAAAGAAACAAATTGAATCTTACAAACAACAAATCAACTCAGTATCATCGTTTGTAAACATTAAGTTCATAATTTTTTTTTTATAAATCAAATTATTTTCCTTTAAAATTTCTTCTTTATGATTCCATAAATAAATCTTATAATCTGATGTGAATGTAGCAACTAAGATCTCTTTAAAAGAAAAAATGGCAAGGCCATTCAAATCTTCTCTAGGAATTTGATAGTTATTTTTCTTGCCGAGATTAATAATATTAAGTGGTTATTATTGTGCGAATAAACTATAAAATTGTATTATTAGGAAAAATTTAAACTAATTTTAGAATATGGATTAGAACATTCTATAACCTTAATAATTTCATTAGATTCGTTTTGTATGTCACACTTTCTAATTATGCGATTTTCGGATACTGTATATAAAATATTTGAATCATGCCAACTAAATTTGAAAATCTAAAGACTTCTTTCTATATTTGGGATCTCTTTCTTTAACTTTTAAGAGATTTCAAAGATATAAATTGAATATCTATCAGAAACAGCTAAAAATCTATCATCATTTGATATTTTAACTTCGTTTGTTTCAATCTAACTGTAAGGATTAGTAAATGTATTATAAATTACTCCAGTAACACAATTTAATAATGTTATTTCATAATCATAATTCAGGAATATAAAAAAGTTTTGACTATTTGATAAATAACTACATGCAATATGCGTGCTATAATTTACATCAATAGAGGGTTTTTAATCTTATATTTAATAAAGTGATGATATAATTATTAAATCGCTATTCATAGTTACTATATAATCTTGATAATAACTAATTATATCAATTTAAGTAATAGACGAATTCAGCTTAATTTTTGATTGCATTGCCCAAGTATTATTTACTTTTTACCAAAAAATCATAATATTAAATTTATCTACTGATAATAATTTTTGACCATTAAACCTAGATTTAATCATTTTTACTTCATTCAAATGTCCTTCAAGATTTTCACTTTAATTTTTTGATAAATCATAAACTTTAATTAATTTATCATAACCATAAAAGATATCATTATTATCCGATATGAATTCAGGGTTAATAGTAAATTCTTAGATTTAAAATTTTTACTCTTGTTTACCAATTTAATTCAAATTTCAAACTTAAATTTTAGTAACTTATAATTTTTTTTCTTCATCATTTTAATTTTTATTTTATTCTCTATCATCATTTGAAATAGTAGTAAAACATCCTTATGGACTAAATTATAATTCATCTGGAATTAAATATATCTCCTATATTTTATAGAATAGAGTTGCTTCGTGTGGAAATTTAACATCCCATAAACAAATTGAAGCATCACAACCTCCTGATGCCAACCATTTAGAACAAAAAGAGAACGATAAATATTTTACAAATGAAGTATGTTCTTGTAACATAATGATTAAGTTCTTATCTATTAAATCCCATAAAATTATTGATTTATCATAACTACCTGATGCAAAAATCAGACCATCTTTAGAGAAAGCAACTTAACTTACACATTTTTAATGTCCTTTTGATATTTTTTATTATTCACTGAGTTCAATTTTCCATAATTTAATTTATTAATCATTACTTGCAGAAGCCAAACATTTACCATCAAGTGAAAAAGATAATTAATTAATAGTATTCATATGACTTTCAAATATTGCTATTTTTTTTTCG